TAGGGATCTTGACTATCATGACAGTAGAAGGTACTGCAGACTCACCCGAAGCAGCTCTTGAAGTTGGTCTCGTAGCGTCTGCTGTCAGTAAAGCGGGAGCTGGATGACTTGGCTCTGCAGATGCAGCAGCCGTCTATGCTCCGGTACATCTTTGGCTTGTGGAAGCCAAACATCTACAGCAACACAGGAAGAGAAGCACATCAACAACTACAGACCATCTCGCTATGGGGTCACAGCAGCAGAGATGCCAGTGTGCATGGTGTAATGGAACACAGGACATGAGAGAAGGGAGTTTGGTGAAACAGGCGAACTGCCCGACCGTCAACGTTTAACCTGTTAGTTTTAACATATAGAGTATGTGTTGTGCTGAAATATTCCCTGGTTTGATACAAGAATGTCCCACTTTAAATAGGATTATGATTGTGAATGTGTCATTATTGTCAAGAGATAAATGATCTTTTTTATCTGTCTGGATTCTTGTCATCTTGGTAAAGCTAATTCCACAACTGAAAACAAATGTGCCCAGGGGCGTAAAGTTCCATTTCCTGCCCCCCTACTACTGGTGCCCCTGCTCGGACCACACCCATGTTTGAACGTGGCCTTTATCTTGATCATGACTGCATCTTGCACGATTGTAACGCTATCACACTGACAAAATCTGTCCACAGACCGACAGACATAAACACCTGGCAAAACACTTAAAACTGCTTCTGTGGTGGTTCCAGCCACGATCACAGACACACAGAGAGAGAAAACAATACCAGCCATGCTGTCACGGCTGGATCTTAAACGACGAGGATGCTGCAGGTCCTCAAATTACAGATACAATATTCTTTTCACTGTTGCTGACTTTCTCCTTGGAACAGACAACCTGCTGTGAAAGTTACATTTTAACTCAGATGCTACCAGGTTTCACCAACTGAGCAAGCTACAATGTCGTCATTTAAGAAAAGATAGAAGAGAAGAATATATCAAATAGGGCTGCTGCTGACAATTATTTTCATTATTGATTCCAATTTAATTAATTAATGTTTGGCCTTTAAAATTGTGTCAATCAAAGTTTTTGAAAGTCCAAGGTGATGTCTTCAAATATCTTGTTTGACCAAGAATCCACAAAACCCAAAGATATTCAGTTACTATCATGAGGGAAAGAAAAGCAGCTGCAACTACTAACTTAGTACAAACTGGGGCTGTGTGCATAACACGCATTTACGTCATATGCCATTTAAGGCACTCCCTCCTGATCTCCTGTGGCGGAGGAGGAGGTGGTGTGTGTGTGTGTGTGTGTGTGTGTGTGTGTGTGTGTGTGTGTGTACATCAAATGAGCAGGTTATCTGGCTGAGCATCACTGAGGAGGGAACAGCACGGCCTGGCTGCCTGTTATGCAACCGTGGTGCTGATGCAACTGGAGGCTCGACATGTGGCCGGGATGTTGAGCCAATGATCGACAACCGCTGATAAAACGCCTCTAAATCGATAACACACCTGTTTAATAGTGTACTACACCACTTTACTTATTTTGGTAATTAAAACGTTTAAAGAGGAAACGGAAACATATGCATGTTGCTTTACACAAATGTTCAAACTGATATTTGAGGCGTCATCAGTATGTGAAATGCAGCCTGGTTTGGGGCCATGATGTCATGTGAAACGCTGTGCGCTGATGCTGGCAGTGATTGTGTAATCTGTCCTGACTACAGCCTGGCACATGGCAAAAGAACAGATGCAGTAGACTACCAGTCAGGGCTGCAAAACAACTTGAATGTGAAAGAAAGTGCATTAAAATCACTAAAAACTGCCACACAGCAGATAATTAGTGAAGTTTACAGATCAGATTTATTTTCTTCTCTGAGTGCCAAGTGAGTCAGTACATTCCTGCGCTGTCCATCCTCCTGACAGTTACCTGCAGATGTTGCTATGGGCGACCTACAATAACCAACAGATCAGCTTGCAACAGACGTAAAGTTAAAAACAATTAGAACGCGTCTATGTTATTAACACTGCTCGACAAGTACTCAGTCTGTCCCTCTTCTTCCCCAGCTGGCAGCGTGGAAGCAGCTCTTCTCTCCGTGCGTTATTATTATTATTATTATGTGACAGGTGTCGCCTCTGAGTAGCCAGGCCACTATATCCAAAAAGATTTACTACTACATGTAGGCAGAGTCTAAATCATCTGTGCGGAACAGGCGCATCCTCGTCTCAGAAAATACACGGAGACATTTCCGGGCTCCTCTGCTTTGTTTTGTTTCAGGGACTTAACATTATAATGGACCCCTAGTTGGTTACCACAGCGCTGTGGGAGAAGCGGGAAGTGATGCCACAACAATAAAATGCATGGTATGGGGTTATCCTGCCCGGCTTTGATGTGGGCCGCGAGTGCTGGACTTGGCATGAATCTTTGAACGGTCTGGTCCTAAAGGGAAATACTAAGACCTCGGCATAAACCATGAACCACTGTTTCCGACAAACGAGACTAGCAAACGTGTCAACGCGTGTCCGGTTTTACTGCAGTTTCTTTCAAACATTGTGGAAACTATTGCGCGACCGACATGATATTTTTCAGTCACTGGGTTAGGAGCTAACTTAGAACATAAATTCGTTGTGTTTGAAATGTTCCTGAGGGGGCTGGACACTGATGCAGGAACACACCCACCACCGACAACAAAGTCCAGCTCAGTTACACACCAGCGTTCATTTAACGTTCAAATGTGTTGAACAACTGTAAGCACTTAAATATGTAAACTTTGTAAACGTTACGTTTTGAGCAGGTAACTCATATCAAGACAAGGTAAAACTAGCAGTCAGTGGCCTTGCCCGCTTCGGCAGACTAACGCTACGTTGACGTCTGTATTGCATACGAAAAACATAATAAAGTTAGCTTAGAGCGAACCATTAACAATTTGAATAACGTTAATGTTTTCTGAACTAACCGAGCAACTAACGTTAGCTCAACTATCATGAGCATCATCAGACAGACAGACATCGTGGGTGTATTTAAGTTAGCGTAAGACACTCCGCATGAAAACAAGCACACAAATCCCCAATGTTAGGCTTTATTAACTATCATCAACGCTTTAGTAACAAACACACAGCTGGTTAGGGTAGCCTAACGCTTTTTCGAGATGTGAAATCAGAAACACCATCCTCCGGTAACTTTACTGCACGCAGACACCGAGCTGTCTACACATACTTTTGTTCTGTCCACAAAGTCAGAAAACACACTTACCTTGTTTCAAAATGAAAAGCTGAGCGACCCACACTTGTGTCATATGCGGTAAACTCTCATTTAACATTTAACAATGCCGTTGCAAACCAATAGCGTTGCCCGCCGAAGCGTCAAGACACGGGAATAACAAAATGACATCCGCTTGGAACTCTGAAATTAAAGCCAGGGTCACAAGAACGCAGTTCGGCCGCGATTTGAAGTAACGACGATACACTTATTTTGAAAGCCAGTTCATTCAACTTTCGATAACGGCTACGTGTGGCTAGCTTGACGCAGCCAGACGCAGCCAGTGTGCAAATGTTCACGCAGGCGCACTACGCGACTCCCGCGCCACCATTTTCTGATTTTCTTCAATCAGCGTGATTTGCATACAGCTGTGACGTCTGCCTGCAATAAGGAGTGACATTTACGCGGGAAAAGGAGGTCTACCCAGTTGTTATGGAAAGGTTGCAGGACGGGGATGCTGCCAGGAGGAGGCTCTGATTACACTTTTTATTTTATTCTTTGCTTAATTTTATATTCGCTGTATTTTTTTTATCTTGACTATGGAATCTGTGTGTGACAGAATAGTCTCAACTCAAGTCCGCTGACGAGTTTTTCCGGGACGTTCAACTATGCTACGGTCATTATTTTTATATGGTTTTATTTCTGTTTTGTTATTTAATGTTTTTCTATACTTTCAGTTCTTTTGGAGAATTACATATTAAAACTTCCAAATACCTGCCTTTGGTGTGCCACATCCACCAATGTGTCCCTGAGCAAGACACTTAACCCTAGTTGCTCCAGAGGCGTGCGACCTCTGACATAATTAGCAATTGTAAGTCACTTCGGATAAAAGCCTCAGCTAAATGAATAAATGTGAATGTAAATAAAAGATGAGCTGGTTGTTAAAGTAGAGTATACAAACTAAAAAAAAAAAAGACTCATGAATCAATAAATTTCAAGCCTGTGTTTGATTGGTGATTAGACTACCTCTTATCCCCTGCCATGTCCTCTCCCCTCCCTCTCCAGTATCATGTGGTAGTCACATGTAGTTAACAGTTTTAGCATGTAATTCTGAAATGCACTGTAGCCTATGTAGTTTGTGTGCCAGAGGTAGAAATAGTTTTCAGCCAAAAAAACTACTACAAATGTGTGGGGGTGGTGATGGGCAGTGGATAAGACACGTCTGTGGTGTGAGAGACCCAGGTTTGATTCCCACTGCCACACGTCTACCAATGTGTCCTTGAGGAGGACACTTAACCCCAAGTTGCTCCAGAGGGGTAAGTGGCTTTGGATAAAAGTGTCAGCTAAATGAATAAATTTAAATGTAAATAAACAGAAAAAAGTTGAATGAATACTGCACGAAACTCTGATAATATTGTATATAGGATTGCATCTAGGACAATTTTTGGGACTACTATAATTCATCTCCTTCCTAAGAGTTTTGGCCTACTAATATAACACATTTTACCTATTTACGTCATTATATCCTGACAGTTTATGGATACATTTGTCTCTGTTGTTGTTTTTCTACCAATATTCTTATTATGTTGGGTATTGCATTTCTACCTTTGCATATAGCTATTTAAGAAAGCTTACACTGCATATACGCTGGACACACAGCCTGCCCTGCACTCCCTCTTCCCAACCCTGATGATCTGCACTCTGTAGTTAACATTGCTTCCCTGTAAGAAAATCCTCTTTTGACTTTTCTCCCACCATTTAACATTTCCAATAGACACACTGAACATGGATGTAAGTGTAGTTTATGGACAAACCCACAAACACCTGACGCCTTTAACACACACAGTGTTTTTTTTATTGAAATAGGCATAATAAATATAACAGAGTAGTCAGTCCACAGACATGAAGCTCTGTTTGTCCCGTGGTGTTCTTGCCAAGAGCAGGATGCACAGCCACTACATGGCTGTCAGTTGCATTTCATGTTCGCTGTTTGAGCAGACGCACTCAGGGTTAATACCACATGTGACATGTCCATGTTCCAAATTAATTAAGCAAAGTGTTCAGTAGCCTAAGGAGGAATCTCAACCGTCCTCTAGAAGTTTGCCTTATAGCCATCAGCAAAGAGTTTGTACACAAACAAATCCAGGATGTGACAGAGGAATTTGTTATTGTGCTTGTCCTGTAGGTGAGGCATCAGGGGCACAGCAGCAGGAGCACAGAGGGTTAAAACATGATAAAAACACATGAAGTGGCCTAACAGCAATGTTTCCAGTTATTCCACCGGTTTAATCAACCTTATAATACCAGTGCTACTGCCAACCTGCCATGGATTAATATTAAATTAATAAATACATGAAATCAAGACATTCAAAGCAAAATGACAGGCTGTATGTCCTTCACAGACTCAAACAGCAAAAATACTACAGGGAACTGGGGCTGCAAAGATGTCCACTTTTTGTCCCCTCAAAACTCACCTACCATCTAGAATTAATTAGAGAAGGTCACAATAAATACAGCTCAGTCTACATGATAACATGCTTCTCAGAAAGGATTCATTTAGACAGTAGTACGTGGCAACAGTGGCAAAACCTCATGCAGCAAAAGTTTCAGGGGGAATAAAAATCTGTCTGAAGAAAAATAGTTTCCACCCATCTCTGTTGGCTGCCGCTAAAGTAGAGAAAATATGAAGTTTGTCTGTGTTTGGAGGAGGTGGGGGCTGAATGAAATTCTTACATCATAAATGAATAGTAAGACATTGTCCCTACTTTTATATCTAGAGGCCGTGTTGCATTCATGTAACATTGCAGCTAAAAGTTTGAACATCACGCACTGATCTGAAACTTCCTCACAAGGCTGTTCTGTATATTTTATAGTTTTCTTATTGTCAACAAATCCCACGAAAAGACCCAAACCAACAATGAATGCAAAGGTAGACAAAAATTAATAAATAAAAAAAATAAACCCCACAGAAAAAAAAACACATCCTGGTGCCTAATTATGAACTGCGTATTAATCCATTGCTGAAAATAGTTCCAACAAAAGCACCATTTTCTCTTGTGAGTGACAATTGGTAAAGACTACAGTGACCAGCTGTTTTAGGATGACAACAAAACCATACTTTTGTGAGGTGTTCTTAAAGATTTATGTATTTTACAACAGACAGGGTATGGTGGCCAGTTCATTGTTTGTGTTTTTTTCATTGAATTTGTTGACAGTGAAAAATACAGCATAACACCAACCTTATTCTTAAAAAAATATGTATTTTTTTCAACAACCTACACATTACTGAACTGAGTTTGAACTTCCAAGGTGTGAAAAAAACTGATGCCTGCTGTTAAGTATTCATTTGTTTGTCCTGCTAAGCTTTATCAAACTAATGCTACTATAGTTCAACATTTAGGGAAAGATGTAAATCTTATGTCTGTCCACTGAGTGGACAGGAGGACACGGTTAGCCTAGCTTACTGGAAGCTGCTTTGCTGTCAGAGCATGGTTTGGTACCACAGTGTTTGTACAGAGACCAAAACCTGTGCTCACGACTATTGTAACTTAAGACTCGGCACAGAATTTCTGGACGAATGAATACACACTTGATCAGAGGTGTAACACGCCTGGAGTCCAGCTCTATTTTATAACAGAGACGTGAGACTGATTGATCAATCTTTTCATTCTTTGGTACATGCCTTGTTCATGTACCAAATTAACTCAGTCAGCTGTAGTCTGAGAAGGAATCTCAATCGTCCTCCTCCATTAGATGACTGATCAAGCTTTTCATCTTACTTTCTGGAACAAAGCCAATGTGTGTATTTCCCATAATGTTGAACTATTTCTTCAAAAACAATGATGGCATTTACAGTGCGGCATACAGACATACATTCTTGGAAATACCAGCATGTGTTTACATTGGTGTCACATTGTGATGCAGGATCTGAACTAACCCTCCATACAACAAACTTTGATTTAAAGGGACGTCGTGTTATTCATCTAGTGGCAGGTAATGAATCAAGATTCAGGTTAGCAAAACAGCCTTGCTAGCATCAGAGCGCTTTTGTTTGTCACCACATGAATCATATTCATGCAACTTTAGGTCTGCTCAACACAACATCAACGTCCTCCCAGTTTGAGAACCATTGAGTTCCATTTTGCTTGCTTGCGTAAACGTTCATTCTTGACCTTACGAATAGTATTTTGGCAAAATAATCTTAACTCACACTCCACTCACTAGCCTTTGCCAGAGCTTTCAACCATAAATATCCATATTTAAGTCATATGATGACAGCTGAGTAAGCTCCAGAAAAAGCTAATAAGTAGACCCTGAGTTCAGATTGTTTTACACAGTAGATTTCGCTGAAGTTGGAAGAAAATAAATGGAAGGCAAACACACACACCAGAGCACATACATTTGTGAAATACGATACACACTCAAACACACACTTGGACACACACACACACCATTTAAAACCAACCAGGCGGTCCCTGCAGTCTGGTAGGAATGTCCATGAAGCCACAGGTTAAGCTACCGAACCACATCACTGAGATCAGTTTTTGTGTTCACCCACAGACTGAAAGTAGAGAAAATGCCCAACAAAAGTCCAGCGAATTAACAGAAAGAGAGAACGCTACACTGTACGAGAGTCCATCCATCACCATCTTTGTCATAATCCTTGTTTCCGTGGGTCAGTGACCGTTCTGTCTCTTCCTGAGGTCGTCTCTTCTTCCCACATAGGCTCATTCTATAGGCATGCTCGCTACTGCTAACGCTAATTAGGGTGTGGGGATGGTGGCACCGTAACGCCCAGTTGCAAGCGAACAAAGAGATTTTATCGCTCGGTTTATGCAGCTGTACCTACAGAAGGTGGGCTAGGCTACACAGCTAGCACACAGGAAATGGCTGCTTCTACTAACGTTTTAAAAAACACACCAGTTGCATATTTCACTGTTTATCTTCTTGTCTCTAGTTTTGTGAAGCATTCTTAAAAATGTTTTAGATGGATTTTTCTCTTACTAAGCTGCTATTCTCAGTTTATTACAGTACACTGTGAAATTACATTAGCATTACATGTTAATGCTGTTGAGAGCAGGGACAATAATCTGGTGATATTCTATATTTTTCTTGTAGTCATCACATTTTATGAAATGACCCAAACAATGAAGTGATCCTACTAACAAGTATTTGATGTCTCTTCGTCCTCTGAGCCATAGACTGTGTTTCAGGAACTATTAAACTATCAGTGAGCCTCACTGCTGCACTGGGTGACATGTTCCTTCATAACCATGAACACACACACTGTATTTTATTCTGACTCAGTCCCACACACTGTCCTGCTGCCCCAAATTCTCAATTGAGCACCACATTAATTGGATTAATCCGCTGCTGAAAATAGTCCCCAACAAATGCTCTATTTCCTTCTGTTTGCGTAAAGTAAAAACTACATTTAGCAGCTGTTTTAGGAGATAGCTAAACTTTTTTATAGAAATAATAATATATATTTGTGGGTTGCTTTTAAATATTTCTGTTTTCAGTAGGAACCAATGGGCTTGAAGCTGAGAGCCACAGACAGAGTGGGGAAGTCAGAGAGTATTAAGAAAGGGACTACCACATTGTTGGTTTGAGTCTTTTCATGGGATTTGTTGACAATATGAAAAATATAAAATATTACGATGGATTACAAATCCCCAGCAAACTTCACGTGACTTCAAGACGATTTCTAACGTCATGAAACAAAGTGAAACCAATGGCTGCCTGGAAGGCAGAAAATCAACCGGAAAGTGTTTGGAAATTGTCCACAGTAATGTGACGTATTTGTAGTTAATGATGTAAAACCTGATTAAGCACTGGTTGTAATTTAATTTAAAGTTTTTTTTTAGAGAGATAATACTGCATCCAGGCTTCAGGTTGATCCAAAGCCCCAACTTCTCACATGAAGCAGTGGAACTTTTTGCTTTGGTAACCAAACCGCTTGTCCCTCATTTCCTCCCTTCCTGGTCATGTGTCTAATCCCAGAGCCAACAGTGCTGGAGTAAATGAAGTTGGTGGTAGTGAGTTGGGGTTTTTGAAGGAAAATGTAGAGCTGAATGGTAGCCTGGTGGTCCCTCCTTGGCCTAAAGGTCGATGCCTTTGACCAGTGAGGCTTCCAGTGTGATGGGGAAGTCGTGCAACGTTTCCAGGACGCCGATAAGTGCGTTGACAGTGGTGCGGTCTCTGAGCAGGGCTGTGTCCTCGTACATTCGCAGGATAACCGGGCACTCCACCAGCAGGGGGAGCCACTGGGGCAGCAGACGGTCTCTGCAGAGCAAGAGGTAAGACGGCATTAGTAAGGCGGCATAAGTAGATATTGAACCAGCAGGGGTCGTAGCCAATTCTGTGGTCTGGTTACTGCCACACCGCCGACTGGTCGCTGCCACACCAAACATTGCCCGCTGCCTTGCTGCCAGGCTGCCACACGGATCACTGGTCGCTACCACAGTCTCTGAAGGAAGGCCCCTCTCTGTTCCTTGTCACACAAATTTTGACATTAGAAAAATGTCAGTTTCAAGTTTTTATACAGTCTATGGTTCCAAAGTAGACCTAAAGTGACTTTAGATCATTTAAATGATCTCAACTGGCAGATGATACATTTTTTTGTCTAATAGAGGGGAATGGATTTAAGCAATTACAGATGTTAAGGAATTTTCTACTGTCTCAGGCTTAAGAAAAAACTTAAACAATCTGTTTATTAGGCTACCACTTCAGGAATGTGAACTATCACAAGTTAATGGTGTCCAGTGAAGAACCCAGTCACATACATGGGTGTGATAAAAATGAAAATCTTTGCGATAACCTAAACTTCAGCCCTACGATTTAACAAATAACAAAAAGATCCAACAGGGCTCTTTCACTGAATTATGGAGTTCTACTATCTAATACTGAGGGAATATCCAGATCTATGTATCCTTGTCACTGGAAATGCCTGCTGAAATATACAAAGAATTAGATAAGATCTTATTTAATTTCATTTGGAGGAACAAATGTCATCATTTAAGATATTGTAAATAATCAAAATAATCCCAGACACTTGTTCCAAACCATAAACAGACTGCTTCAAGTTAATCCTGTTTCCACTATGCCTGTTTCTCAGCAGCTCTGTGATTCTTTTCTACAGTTTTTTAATTCAAAGATTGTCAATGTTCACAAAGAAATTTCTGTTAACCCTGACTGTGCCACTTCACTCCTTTGTTCATCTGGGTTCACTGGTTTCTTTCACTCATTTCTCACTGCTTGATTCTGAGGCTCTCACAAGGGAGGTATCCAGCATGAAATCAACCAGTTGCTTGCTGGATCCAATTCCAACTATTCTATTTAAATTGTGCTTCACTGTGTGGTGCCCTACTATCCTCAGCATTATAAATGAATCACTGGATACTGGGATCGTTCCAGTAGTACTATAGACTGCTGCTGTTACACCTGTACCAATGAAAGAGAATGTTTCTGTGGATGATTTTAACAACTTTGGTCCCATCTCTAATCTTCCCTTTATGGCAAAAATACTTGAGCGTGTTGTTGCCTCTCAACTCTGTAATCAACTTACAACCAATAACCTCTTTGAACCCCTTCAGTCAGGTTTTCGTAAATTTCACAGCACTGAAACAGCGTTGGTCAAGGTTACCAATGACTTGTTGATGGCCTCTGATTCTGGAGCTATCTCACTTCTTATTCTTCTTGACCTTAGAGCCGCCTTCAATACTGTGGTCTATTACTTACCCGTCTTGAAAGTGTTTTGTGGTGTAAAATATATGTTTTAAATAGCACTGTAGCAGCAGGACAGAGGGTCAGTGACCTCCTAAGGGGAGAGCAGTGATTGGTGGTTATGTAAGGACTGAACCCTTCTATAGAATTTGACCTCTAACCCCTTGTTTTGTTACCTCAGAATAGTACTGTACCCTTCTATGGGTTGGAGCTTTATTTTGCAGAGTCAAATCCTTCTATGTTACCTAACAGATACCTAAACATATCCTATATAAGCTATGTTTGATGTACAGAAAGACAGAGTGGCCATCGGGCTGGATCACTCTCCAAGCTGCTGCAGAGCTTGTAATTGATGCTGAACTCCTTGATGTAATAAACTTTTATGATCAAGAACAGTGTCAAGCGGATTTCTTCTCAACACATCATCGCAGCATTATTGTTCGGACACCACAGTTTTAAACTGGTTTAAATTCTATTTTACTGACTGTTCCCATTTTATTTCTATGTGTGGCTTTAGGTCTGACACTTACTCGGTGCTCACTGGTGTTCCTCAGGGATCAGTTCTAGGCCCTCTACTCTTCATTATTTATCTATCTCCACTTGGGAATCTGCTGCAATCGCTTGGCCTCCATTATCACTTTTATGCTGACGATACCCAACTCTACATTCACTCTAAATCTGGTGAAGACATTGATGTTTGTTATCTTTCTGGTTGTATTGCTGAGATAAAAGCATGGATGAACAATAACTTTCTTTGCCTAAACAGCGGGAAAACTGAGGTTATGCTTATAGGTTAGGCTCCAGGTTAGGCTCCACTGTCCCTGTTTGTTGATGGCTCTGTTCTAGAGACCCAAAGTAAGATGAGGAACCTTTGTGTAATTTTTGACACCAGCCTCACCTTTGATTTTTTGTTCAGAGCACTGTGAATGCATTCTTTTTCCACCTCAGAAATATAGCCAGACTACGCCCAATGCTAAATTTATCTGAAAAGCTGATTGATAAATTTGTTGTCACACGGCTGGATTACTGTAACGCCGTTGTAGCCGGAGTTTCTAAAACCACAATTAACAAACAATATGTTCAACTCTGCCGCCCGGATCCTGACGGGAACCAGGAAATCTGACCACCTTTTTGAAGTCCTTACACTGGCTCCCAGTCAGGTTCCGTGTCGATTTCAGGATCATGATGTTGACATACAAGGTATTACACGGCTTGGCTCCGCAATACTTATCTGGCTTATTAATCCCTTACACCCTGAATTGCATACTGCACTCCTCACAGTGTAATCTGTTAACTGTTCCTCAAATGCACCTAAAATCTATGGGTGACAGGGCCTTTTCTTATTATTAATGTGTTGTTTTTGTTTTTATAATTATTATTATTTGTTGTATTTTTCTGTGTATTGTGATTTTATGTACAGCGCTTTGAGAAGCTGCTTTTCAAGGCGCTCTATAAAATAAAGTTTACTATTATTATTATTAAGCAAAGATACCATATGGAACATAAAAAATGGAGGTCTGGAGGTTTTAAGTTTTAAACCTTAAGTAATACTTTCAAAAGTTAAATGGCTAACTAAGTTGATAAAAAAGACAACATTTAAAACACCCTCCCTAAAGGGTGGTGATGGCCTTTGGTGCGAGAGACCCAGGTTCAATCCCCCACTGACACTTCCACCAATGTGTCCCTGAGCAAGACACTTAACCCCTAGTTGCTCCAGAGGTGTGCGACCTCTAACATATACAGGTGCTGGTCATATAATTAGAATATCATCAAAAAGTTGATTTATTTCAGTAATTCCATTCAAAAAGTGAAACTTGATATTCTATTCATTCATTACATACAGACTGATATATTTCAAATGTTTATTTCATTTAATTGTGATGATTAAAACTGACAACTAATGAAAATCCCAAATTCAGTATCTCTGAAAATTAGAATATTACTTAAGACCAATACAAAAAAAGGATTTTTAGAAATGTTGGCCAACTGAAAAGTATGAACATGAAAAGTATGAGCATGTACATCACTCAATACTTAGTTGGGGCTCCTTTTGCCTGAATTACTGCAGCAATGCGGCGTGGCATGGAGTCCATCAGTCTGTGGCACTGCTCAGGTGTTATGAGAGCCCAGGTTGCTCTGATAGTGGCCTTCAGCTCTTCTGCATTGTTGGGTCTGGCATATCGTATCTTCCTCTTCACAATACCCCATAGATTTTCTATAGGGTTAAGGTCAGGCCAGTTTGCTGGCCAATTAAGAACAGGGATACCATGGTCCTTAAACCAGGTACTGGTAGCTTTGGCACTGTGTGCAGGAGCCAAGTCCTGTTGGAAAATGAAATCTGCATCTCCATAAAGTTGGTCAGCAGCAGGAGGCATGAAGTGATCTAAAACTTCCTGGTAGACGGCTGCGTTGACCTTGGACCTCAGAAAACACAGTGGACCAACACCAGCAGATGACATGGCACCCCAAACCATCACTGACTGTGGAAACTTTACACTGGACTTCAAGCAACGTGGATTCTGTGCCTCTCCTCTCTTCCTCCAGACTCTGAGACCTTGATTTCCAAAGGAAATGCAAAATTTACTTTCATCAGAGAACATAACTTTGGACCACTCAGCAGCAGTCCAGTCCTTTTTGTCTTTAGCCCAGGCGAGACGCTTCTGACGCTGTGTCTTGTTCGAGAGTGGCTTGACACAAGGAATGCGACAGCTGAAACCCATGTCTTGCATACGTCTGTGTGTGGTGGTTCTTGAAGCACTGACTGCAGCTGCAGTCCACTCTTTGTGAATCTCCCCCACATTTTTGAATGGGTTTTGTTTCACAATCCTCTCCAGGGTGCAGTTATCCCTATTGCTTGTACACTTTTTCTACCACATCTTTTCCTTCCCTTCGCCTCTCTATTAATGTGCTTGGACACAGAGCTCTGTGAACAGCCAGCCTCTTTAGCAATGACCTTTTGTGTCTTGTCCTCCTTGTGCAAGGTGTCAATGGTCGTCTTTTGGACAGCTGTCAAGTCAGCAGTCTTCCCCATGATTGTGTAGCCTACAGAACTAGACTAGAGACCATTTAAAGACCTTTGCAGGTGTTTTGAGTTAATTAGCTGATTAGAGTGTGGCACCAGGTGTCTTCAATATTGACCGTTTTCACAATATTCTGATTTTCTGAGATACTGATTTTGGGGTTTTCATTAGTTGTCAGTTATAATCATCAAAATTAAAAGGAATGAACACTTGAAATATATCTGTCTGTGTGGAATGAATGTATACATTATACAAGTTTCACTTTTTGAATGACCAGCACCTGTATAGCAATTGTAAGTCGCTTTGGATAAAAGCGTCAGCTAAATGAATAAAAGTAAATTAAGTAGTATTACATTTCTACTAAAATGTTGACTAAAAAAAAAAAATCGATAAATTTCCTGTTTACATTTATTCATTTAGCTGACGCTTTTATGCAAAGCGACTTACAATTGCTATACATGTCAGAGGTTTAACACTGTCTTGCTCAGGGACACATTGGTGGATGGGTCACAGTGGGGGATTGAGCCCGGGTCTCTCACACCAAAGGCATGTGTCTTATCCATTGCGCCATCACCACCAGTTATCAAACTTCAAACGAACTCTACTGGCCTGGAAATTAATAGATAGTATTTTATTTATGTGCATGATTGCTGTTACTGTTGAGTTCAAAAACACCAAAGTATGAAGAAGACATAGCGAACCAGACTTAATCTTTTAAATTGGAACCAGGTGGGAGGGCAGTAGTATGTAGCTTAAACAGAACACAGGAAAAAACACTGACCAACCACACCACCATCTCACAAACATACACACACACACACACACACACAGTTTGTGCTCATTGACATAATGCATTCCCTAGCCTGTTACCCTAACCCCAACCATCACAACTACATGCCTAACCATAACCCTTACCCAAACCCTAACCCATAACCTAATTGTAACCTGAACTCCTGAAGTCTTAACCCTCCAAAGGTGTCTCTATCGGTGCGGACCACAATTTTTGTCCCCACATGGTTATCCTTGTCATATCACATATTTGATCATTGATTATTTTTCTCTGTTCAATATATGTGTAAATATAATAAATAATAGAAGCCGACGCTGTTATTTGTGTAAAACTTTCACTATCCTCCTGAAGTTCCCAACAACCACAAATGAGTGCCCTGGTATGTATTTAATTTTATACATTTCCAGCCCCTGTTTGTTGTGAATACAATACACATTACAGAATTATAAAGCAGACATGTCCAAGGTAGATGAGTGACAGCAGCGTTCTCTCAAAACTGACCTGGCTCCGAGGCAGACCATCAGCTGGAACTTCCCATCCTTGCCGATGTTCCTAGGAGTGGAGTTGACCGCGTTGACATAGTGACAGAGTGATTGACAGGTCATCCCCAGGGGCTCCGCGGTCTCCTGAAGGTCTCCCATCTGGTCAGCTGACTCCATGTAGGCAACGGCCTTCTCTGCAGAGGGAGGGGAGGACATTACAGACTCAGAGAGTTTGTTTCCTTTCACATCTTCTCCTCCTGAAGCATTTGGTGCACACAGAGCCTTCACTGTGGTTTACAGCTAAACAAACTGTTGGATAGGCTGCGCTTGCAGCAAATGTTTACACGACTTTCTACATGTTCATTTTGTAGTAATAATTCAGCCCATCAGCAGCAGATGGCACTGTCCTCAACACTTACCCACAAAGTCCCACACAAACACTGTCTTCTGGAAGAGGCGGGCAGACTTGAAGCCGTGATGAAAGAACTGTTCCAGAGCTGCCACCAAGCTGTTCTCCCCACAGAGCAGGACGGTCAGGCTACCTCTCTGCATTAAAACAACCAGGAAATACACATGATAAGGACTGACAACTACATTCAGCCAGTGAATTATGGAAATGAATTATATTAAGGGAAAACAAGCCTTTCCATTGTGTGATATGGCTGGCTCTGTAGCTGCTGAATGCTCCACTATATTCCCCAGCTGGTCTCTAACGGTGTCTGCTGCTGCCAGTGGCTTTATCACAAACTGAAAACAGCTGTGAGAATTTTTCCCACTTGACAAAAGCTTATTGTTCAATGTGGGCGTATTTTTCCAAAACACTGACAGGATGACATCCACTACCTGTAGCTGCCCACTACCTGTGACTCCTCTGGGCTTCCTCTAACTTTGCTCCAACTTAAGTGTTGGTTTCAGTCCTCAGATGCTCTGTGATCTGGGCCAGTTAGGAGCTACTTTTTGCCGTAGAACGTTGGATGCCAAATGTTGATGCCAAATCTTTACATATTCCTGTAGTTGTGGCAGATTTGCATAGTGTTGTTTGGTTTATGGTCTCTGTCAGGGCTGTATGCATCACCCTCCACTCTTGAATCATTGTCCATCACTCCTCTGACAAGAGGAATGCTGGATAAAAGTCTACATTTGTCTCCTCTGCTGTGCCAGTAGGACTGCCATAGAATGCCACACAATGAAATTCACACAGTTTAGTATGTGAAGGGTTCAGAGAGAGTACAGCAGTGATTAAGTTAATAAGAAATGAGTTTATGCATTATCAAAAAGAGGAATTCAGGCACTACTGAGGATTGGATCAGTCACTAACCTCTTTCTCTGGCTTGTGGAAGTGTTTGAGGATGTTGTTCACAGCCTCCCCGATGGCCTCTTGGATTTGGGCTGAAGTGGGTTCTGGAATCAAAAAACAGCTGCATCAAATTATAAGCACAGAGTCTCATTAACAACCCATCATTATGAGATTCACCTAACTGCTGTATTTTACTGTACAGGGCCGTAGCCACCGTTAAGGATGATGAGGGATTTTTTGGGTGGTTTCTGGTGATAATTCTACATTTAACAACAAAAACATATTAATGGGTTAATTCCAGTATTTGTAGAGACAGTGCCACTGGAACAATTATAGACCACTGTAGTGTTTCATTATTATATGTAATGAACAGATGCATTTAGTTGCAAAGCTGCATTTAAGTTGTGGATTAAAAACCCATCAAATTATGAATTCATGATAAGTATAATGTTTTATTCTTTTGATTATTGTTATTGGTGTGTGCATCTATCATATTCCATCTCATAATTAATTTGTCACCTTCTTCAATACTTCTTTAGGACAAACAGACAAAGATAGTGCAATAATAAAAAAAAGTTTGCCAGTACATGTTTAAATAATTTCCTTCATCCAGCATTTAAAGGAATTATTATTATGATGATTTTAATTTGAGTTTATGACTGCACCATTTAAATGGTAATTTAATCAACAACATTAAAATAACTAAAAAACAGCTATTATGTTGGGGCATAAAACAGTAGTGTTTTATCTTACCGGTCTGTGTAATTTACAAATCATTTCCCAGGAAGTTTCGATACTAATTATAGGGGAAATAGAGACCATTTGAAATTGGTAAGTTGAGTTTTTAAGCTTTTGTTTTCTTAGAAGAACTGCTCCATTAAAAGAAATGCATGCAGCAATTTCATTTAACAGGTAACAGGTGGGGGGGACTGACCTCAGTATTTTTGGAAACCTGGCCTCAGTCCTGACTGTTAAGTTTTATTTTGTCCTTATTGTACATAAACTCTACTTCAAAAAATGCATTTAAAGCACAAAGTTTATGATGTGCTGGTTTCAGATCTAACTCCCGTACCGACATCAGAGACACTGCATTGTTGTGAGTTGGAAAACACGTGAGCAGTCCCCCGCCCTGCACAGCTAACAGCCTAACAGATACTGACTGTATCCCCGTCCAGACAGTGCCGTGATGCTGATCCGTCTAGTCTGGGATGGCGAGCGCTGCAGCGGGGGTGTACGGCAGGCTCTCCCAGAATCCTCCTCTCCACTGGGCACCACCAGCTCACCGATCAGGACCCGCTCCAGGCTCCCGTCGTCTACACCCTTACCAAGCCACCGACCACATGGAAACCTGGAGGGACAGAGACAACATCATTTCTTTATTTTCTTTTCCCTGTGTCCTTACTGCTTCTTTCTTCTCAGCAAGTCCTTGGAGACCAGCTTGCATATGCCACGATATTTGACCCTTAATTATCCAGAAAATGTTGAATGAGTGTCCAGGATCTGTATGGGCAATGCCGTGCTTGATATTGATGTTTTACAAAAAAAAATTATGAAAAATTACAAAAACCTCAAAGGTTTCTGAAAAGGGTATTTCTTCTAAAAACCACTTTGACTGGAACTGATGCTTGACTTGACATAATAATAATAATAATAGCTTTATTTGTATAGCACAGGTCAAGTGCTTTACAGTCAATGTAAAAAAGTTGAAAAAAAAATCAAAGATAAAATTGGAATCATACAGTGATTTACGACAATCTGTGTATAAAACAAACAATTCATGATGCAAATAAGCAAAATCTAAAACAGCTATCACACAGTGAAGTACACAGTTAGTACAAAAGACCCCTGTCACTCATCCTGCTCTGAAACACACCTTTGAGAAATGGCTATAAGCTGAACACCACTAAGAGTCTACGATGATGTTTAACAGGGATTCTATTTACCATGTTCACTGTGTTGTTTTAGCTTGTTAGCCTGCTAACATTAGCTAATTAGTAGTAAAGACAAAGTACACATAAGGCTGTTAATGCCATTAGTTTTGCAGGTATTTGGTCATAAACCAACGTACTGGACAAATTCAACATTTGACCAGATGATGGTGCTAGATCAGAAGTCAGGAGATTGAAGTCCAGACAAATAAATGTGTGGACCAAGTTTCACAACAAACCATCCAATATCTGTCAAAGCATTTCAATAAAGAACTAAAAAGTCAACCTCGTGGTGGCGCTAGAGGAAAGGTCAGGGAACCATGAAAGTGTGTACAAACTTTTAAAGCAATCGATCTGATAGTTGTAGAGATATTTCAGTCTGGACCGAAGAGGTGGACTGACTGACCGACCAAGCGTAGCTTGGCTAAAAATACGCAGCCTCCACGCACCTGTAGGTGTGTCCTGTGATCTCATTGCGCACCATCACACAGTCCACCAGCCACTTAGCCAGGAGGCCTGCGTTATCATGACCCAGCTGCACAGTGGTCAGCTTCCCCAGGTTCTGGCACTAAAAAATACACACAACACACACACACAGCAGAGAGAACATCTAGTTGATGCAAAGTGTTTTTAATTAATATGAAATCCTACTTTATATACACTATTAGTGTACCATTACTGGATCTCCAGCACTATTAAAAGCAATTGCTGTCACTACTGTCTTTAATTAAATTATTACAACTTTCAGTAAGTTGAATATAATTATATTAGTAGGATCGTATTTCCCTGCTTCATTCATGGATTCCATGAAAATGAGAATTTGTTGAATTAATCCTAAATCCTTTTCAAGGATGCTATCTCAACATGCACTGGGCATTTAAGATTCCACACTTTCAGACTTACGTAACTCAGAACATTTAGCTACATTAAACGTCTGTCTTTAATCCAGTTCTCCTAGTAGTCTTAAGCAGTGCTGAAATTACTATAATAAATATAATAAAACAGATCAGCATTCAGACTCATGGAAGTGACTGTAGCTGAGGGACAGACCAACTATGACCCAAGTCAAAGTACAATGAGGCTGACTGCAGGACAACAATGCCTACAGGGAAACAGGCACAGGACAACTGGAACAGAAGCATTTCAAAGAGGGAGGATTATGGGAAATGGATGAAATGGAGCAGTGGCTTCCTCTAACCTTGAACAAGGCGGAGATGTGTGTGTGAGGCCTGAAAGCAGACTGAAGGAGATGGAAACACTCGTTAGGACACAATGGATGGACAGTTAACATCATGGTGTGGCGATCTCAGAACCAAAACAAGAACAGCATCCATCATGCAAACAGAAAACATCACCAGTGCACACATGCACACCAACAGACATGCAGTGTGAGGAGGAGAGCAGGAAGTCTGTAGCCCTGCTGGGACTGGATATATGTCTGTGGGGGGGCAGGGTGATCTTAACATTACCTGCGCTGGTCAGTGACTTTTATCCTGTCCAGAGCGCTTTTGTGGGTAATTTTTCACCCCCACCCCAGCATAAATTACAGCCACATTGACCTCCTGTTTTTCTATGAACTCACTGCTCCTCTGGTCACTTGTCTTGTCCGGGGTAACGTCCGCGTGTTTTAAATTGGAAATTTGTCTTTTGTGTGAAAATGGATGAAGTCAAACATGCTAATCTGATCTGAACATGCTAACACAAAGATATGGTCTTTTTTGGGAACCAATACGACGCCTGAAACCAGGCAATGATTGACATTTCAGCGTGATAAATGGCTTAAACAACTATAACTAACTGTAAATAGACTGATTCATCGTTTCAGTACTACAGTTGCGTGGTCCCCATCAAAAAATGGAAAAGCAGTCAACTGACCTCCCAAATGGAACAGAAACTCATTTTGTCATTTTCACTTTAGGAATTTAGAGCCCGCACAGCAACTCAGCAGTGTATGTTGTTAATTCAAGGACTGATTTTTATCTACTGTATATATATTTTGTATCATCATTTCTATCAGTTATGATAACACTGTACACTGCCAGGTAATTACTGAGATCTCAGAGCATGATACAAAGCTTGAACACAAACAGTCAGATGATCAGATAGGTTGTAAACAAACTGACAGTTTGGTCAGATTCTCTAAACCACTATACTTGCGTACACCTGAAATGTTGGTAATAATCCCTCATTGCAAACTGTGATGGAGGTTTAGCATAACAGCCTTTGCTTTCTCCAAAGACATTTTGCTAAAGTGGGGGTTTGTTGACTGAAATTTGACTGATTCAGTTTGATACTCAATCATTTCTACTGGCCACCATCAAAGACCTAAAGGGCCTGTGGAGATCAGTGTCACCCGCCAAAAGTGTGTATCCTTCAGGTCCAACAAACCTGTCGAATCCATTTCCTTCTCTTTAAAATGCTTGCAAAGCTGATTTTGAAGGTTTTAAACCAGCATTGTTTACATCCATGTTTACTGTCTTCTTGGTGCATCACAGCCACTTTTAGATCAGTGGAACAGTGTAAAGCAATTGGCAGTGTGTTGCCCATGTGACTCATCAGAGGACGAAAACTCCATTCAGAGATAAAGCAGACTGTTGGAAATGTCTGAAGCAACATGTAGAACCATGCTTTGGAAATGTCACACAGTTCAGTGCTCCTAGCATGCAGAGCGTGAGCGTGATTTCTCACAGTGACAGAGGAGTTAAACAACCGAATATCATTCCTGACACACACAAACCTGACATCACCCAAACAGTGAAGGCTTCACGCCACACCACAGCGACCAGCTGGGTGTTCAGCCTGTGAGAGGTCAAATGTCACACTACTCACATCGAAGGTCATCTCTAGGACGTTTTTGGGGATCTTCATGATGCCTGAGTCTCCCAGCTCTCCTGACACACACACCCAGGGGTTGGAGGTGGTCATGGCGTTGCTCAGTTTCTTGATGGGGATGATGACGACTCGATACGGGATCACTGCAGGAGCATACAGCACGTCAGCGCCAGAACAGAACAACAAACACTACAATGCTTTTAGACTCATTGCAGGTTATCTAACTGGGCCTATTTATTTTATTTATATTATTTTATTATGAAACCACAGATTCAGGGCAAACGCACTGCAGCAGAGAGGAAACACACTAACAGATCAGGCAGCACAGCAGAGGAGACTAAATTACCGCCCGTGGGTGCAGTTAACACACACATGCTTGTGTGCTTGTCTGCATGTACATTGTGTTGAATTAGACGTTTAAAAAACTCCTGAAGGGATTACACTGCTCAAATGGCCTGAGAGTGCAGTGAAGTGGAGACAGTTGCTGGAAAAAAGGTTGTATTGGCTGCCCCTCCACGACCCTGACCAGAGGGACATGGGGAGAAGGTGGGATGCATGTGCTCTATGTATGGATGGATAATTAAGCACAGTGACGGCCTGGTCACCACTGGTGCCCTCACTGTTGAATCCACATGCACATCAGATGTTCAAATACAAATGTGAATTAAGTATTACAGTATTAAAGGTCATAGGAGCAGGACAACGGAAGATTTTCCCAGATTTTTCCCTGAAATGTTGCCCTGACTTTTTTACTGACAGTCATAAGACTGTCAATAAAAAATCTTGTATCTTCTATCTTGTAATTAATCTTGTATTTCTCGACCTGCTTTGTGTTTTATCTGCTATTCTATGGCCAACAACTCACCACAAACCATAATCAAATTATGTGCAAATCAGTTTGAGTCCTGACCACACATCAGTTTTTCTCACCTATGCATATTTTGGAATCCAACAGAAGTTCTTACCTAGTTCAGTTTAATTGTTTATAAATGTCATTTATACATGTATTGTATATGTTTATTTATTTTATGTATATAAATACAACCAGTAAGAACACTTGTTGTTGTACCTGCCACTGCAACTACTACTCTAGTATTGATTATAATATTCAAGACTGAAAAGCATTTCACAATAATTAGACATTTTAATTAAATCCTCAGTGTGTACTTTGTATGTACATTTCCGTGCGGAGCTGGTCAGCCTGTGCCTTCAGTTGTGATAGAGGTTTGGTGTGAATCTGAGCTGAGGTCTGGATTTAACATTAATGCTTAGGTTTTGTCAAACAGAGGTCAGAGGTCATGTGCAGCTGAGGGAGAACTCACTGATGGTGGTGAAGACGCTGGTGAAGCAGAAGTAGTCGACAGCATTGAGAGAGAGCAGGTGGAAGAGGAACTGCTCCTTCTCCTCCTCGCAGCGCAGGAAAGCGTAACGCTTGTACAGCTTCCTGTGGACACAGCACAGGTCAGGTTCACGTGCTTTACAGTATCATCACCTGCTGTTCAAACTCCACTGTCTTTGAAACACAGTCTGTCTTCTGTCTGTGTGACGCTGACAACTTGAGGTCTCAAGAATAAAAATACTGGGTCACATGTAGTAGGTACAGATATAACTTCACTAAAGTAACAAAAATGTCTCACTCCATTCGTACTGCTCTTACAGACAACTAATCTGTCTGTGTGAAACAGTGTGCTGTATAGTGCTATGGATTAAACGAAGCATTAATGCAAAGAATTTGCGTCGATACTTTTTAGTAATCAAATTAATCGATTTAAATCAATGAATGGTTCTTTATTGAGATTATGATGGAGGACAGTACGGCTGAATCTGAGTAGTAGTGAAGTAGGTTTACACATACAAGGAATTTGTTATGGTGTTTTGGTGCTATAAGGTATAAATATAAAATATAATATATTTTTTCTATTTAAATCTATCTATTATTTATCATTTATCTATTCAATCTCATTTGTTGTGTTCACTCAGGCAAAATGGTGGATTTCTATCCTACAGAGAACCTTTCATCTGGCTTCGATCAGAGCAGTTTACCCACTCTGATCATTTAATGTCCCACAAGCCACCGCTGCTTGCAAGTGGTCCTTAGTGTGACAGTATGACAATTCATGTGTCCCCTGGGCTGGAATAATGTGGCAGTTCAGGATAGACTAGCCTTGTCTGAGACCCTCTCTTCTACTATTTTCTTTAAACTGAACGTTTTGAACTGGATTTTGCACTTGTCACCTGTCATGAGGCAGAGCAGGTACAGCCAGGACCATCACTTCCACTGGCTGAAATACAATCCTGAATGTATCTGATGGTCAGGGATTCGGATGAGCGATGCTTAACCAGGAGTGCATTTGCCAAATCAGACCAGTGAAACCTACTTGTAAATATATCTGCTAAAGCATAAAGCTCACCTTTGTGTCTCCCATTTTCCAGTTTGCCTTAAATTGCTGCGCTTGTGGCTGATGGGGGAAACACACCCACTGTAACTGCAATGGGTGTTTCCCCCCCCATGTGCCGCACATTCCAGCTTCATGAACCACAAGGAGACAAAGAAAACGCCACACTTACTTGGGGAGGCCACACAAAGGTGAGATTTATGCGTTTGTCAAATACACGTGTGGTTCGCCTAACCTATGGATGTCTTCACACCTTTGATATAAGCTGATGTTGGTGAATGTTTGTGTGATTGGTTTTGGGACGTGCAGTGATATTAGTGCAGGTGCATCTCAGGGAAGCACAATCTCACCTATCAAAAGCACAAAGTGAGTGCATGTGACGTGTGTGCTCACTTGGTTAAGGCTTGTCGGGACAGCAGTTGTTTAAGGTGCTGCGAGAGCAGCTTCTTCTCCAGGGACAGGCGAATCCAGCCTCTTGCTCGTCCCACATCTGTCTTTATCTCTGACATACTCTGGATGTGCCTGAGGAGACACATGATGGAGGGAAGAAGATAGATAGACGAAGGTTCATAAAAATCATTAACCTGCCTTATCTGCTTTTACTTCAGTTTGTGTGTGTATGTGCAGAAACCATTTGATAAAGCTTATAGTTAGGGCTGGCTCAGGTGAGTCCTGAACCATCCCTTAGTTATGCTGCTATAGGCCTAGACTGCCGGGGGATTTCCCATGATGCACTGAGCTCCTCTCTCCTCTACTTTCTCTCCCTCTGTATGCAACCTCATCCCATTATTGCATGTTACTAACACAACTTCTCCCCTTTCTGGTAGTCTTGTGCTTTCTCGTCCCTCTCCTCTCTCCTCCTATCACTTCCTGCAGGTTTTCTGGCTCTGGAGCTGTGGAGTCTGGATCTGTGGCTGCGGGTCACCTGTTGCCCCCGTGTTCCTGCTCGACACCCTCTGTTAGAGTTATTATTATATATACTATTATAATTATCTTTATTATTTTTATTATTATACATATTGCTGCCACTACCATTACTATTATTGTACATCTCTATGTGGAACTTGCATTGCGCTACTGTGCTCCCGCCTCCCTCTCAACCCACCTGATCGTGGCAGCTGGCTGCCCACCCCTGCTTGAGGTTTCTACCTTCTAAAAGGGAGTTTTTCCTTGTTGCAAAGTGCTTGCTCATGGTGGGAACTGTTAGGTCTCTGTTAAGAATAGTATGTTCTGTACTACTATGTTAATAGTATTAAGAATAGTAAAAGTATGGTCTAGACTTGTTCTATATGAAAAGTGCAATGAGATAATTTAATTTAACCGATCTATTGGGTCCAATAAAATGTCTCGAACAACAGTCCTTTGTTAAAACCAGTGGCTGTTTTGGTGTGTGCCTGTGGGTACTGGTACAGATGTGTTGCTGAGGGATGAATAGCATACATATTTCCTCATGTGGTGCTGTGATGATGGTGGTGGAGAGTGCTGTTTAACTTAAGTATGGAGTTATTCAAATCACAAGTTGGATTTTCTAACCAACAGTGTGAGGACAAGTTGCGGCCAACCTTATGAGGCATCTAGCCATAACTAGAGGACGGTAGCACGTACCTCATATCCTGTATGAGAGACACATGTAGAAACGGCATCGCTATGGAACAATCAGACTTCCTCCTCTCAGGAACATGTGGCACTGTTGAGGAGAAACACAGGATATGATGGCTTTGTTACATGCGTGGTGGACTCTGCAGAGCAGCGAGTGTGTGTTACCTGCTGACTCTGCCTGTTGCTGCTCCAGCTTCTCCTCTCTGGCCTGGTAGTGCAGCAGGTGAGACCACAGGGCCGATTTCCCCTGAGGGGTCAGAGAAAAACGTGTCAGAAAACCAAAATCACAATTCATACATAAAGGCAGCTAATGCATTCGCTGATGGATGGAGAGATTAGAAACCCATAAAGAGGATCACTCAGGCAGTAAAGCCTCAATATCCATTATGGTCATAAATACCTGAAACTGACAGCACCAGATTTGCTTTATTAGAAATCTGGTTAAGAAATGTGTAATGCATTCCCTGTGTGTGTGTGCACTGACCTGTTTGACCTGGAGCCCGTGGCTCCAGATCCTCTCCAGCAGGTCACACAGGCTGGCAATTAAAGTGTTCTCCTCCAGTCCAGTGATGTTGGCCTCACCATGGCCCAGCTCCACCGCCTCCCGGCCCATCTTCTCCACCAGCATCCGCTTGGTCTAATCACACACACGCACACACACACAATGATAGTGTACAATATAGCTGCATTATTCAAACTAAATATTTCTAAGACAGAGAGGACTATTCATTATTTCAAACTCACAAATTTTGAAAGAACAGAAAATAGATTGAAGGATAAATGAATAAATAAAATGCAACTAAAGCCTACGAAGTGGTATTTCCATATGCAATGTAAACTACAAACAAACTAATACTACTACTCATATTTGAGTCTGTTAGTCCCATTGCTAGCACTATTTCTCTACATCAAAACCACAATTCCACAAAAAAGTTTTATTGGTTCCAATGACAAAGTGGGTATCATTTGGAGTATGCTGTGTCTGACATCACTCCTGGTTCTAGTGTTTAACTTGACAGTGACTGGTCTGAATGGGGGTGCTATTATTAATTATCAACACTTTTAGTATCTCAGAAGGGAATTCTTAGTTTGATGTTTCCACTTGGAGGAAACACATTTCTTATATCTAATGCTGATGAAACGTGAGCGGTTACATCACACCTGAGAGATGATGCCCCTCAGAGCTACTAATGAATCTGAGGTCATTTCTGAGTGCAGGGACGTGCTGTGGCTGTATGCTTCACCTTCATGCGACACTCCTTGAGCAGCCCCTCCACAAACTTCCAGTTGGTCTGGGCGATGACGGCGGGAGACAGATCAGACAGCTTGGGCTGTCGAAGGTTCTTCCCCAGGCCGCGGGCCTCCTGCATATACTTCTGAAGATCAAACAAAACCCATTAGTGAGCTCTGGAGAACAAGCACACTGATCAGGCCTAAACAATACAGTCATTAAGAGAGATGCTTTATGTGTTGTGTCTTACTTATTTATGAATGCACACACGCTAAAGGTTTAACCTCAAAGCGCACACACTCCGGCTGCAGGTTAACACGACATGCTCCCACCTGACACAGTTAGCTTTATCTGATTTTAGTCAGCTGTGTCTCACTTCTGTTGGTTTCCCGGCTGTCATTATAAATAGGATTAATAGGGATGCTGCACGATCAAACTGTGACGAGCATAGACAAATAAAACCTCTCATTTTTCACTCATCTAGATTGTGATTTGCCGGGAAAATCCAACACGTCTGTGAGTTAACAGGAAAGGATAGGACACAGAAGAGGAGGTGTCCTTTAGGCAGGGGTGTGCTGGGACGTGAGTAGTGTTTCCACTGAAGCTCCATAGCTCAAAGTGCTGTGCTACCTTCAGTAGATTTGCCTGTGGAGGTGAAACAAATGTGTGCAGGGCTTTCGGGATAAGTTCAACTTGCTAATTTGCGACATTGAACAATTTCGCTATCCAATTTTATCTAAGTTTCACGTATATGAGTACAGACTGCTCCACATAAAAGATGCGGCATGGCTTACAGTCATGTGCGCTCCCTTTCCCCTGACCTTTGGAACTTGTGTAACTAGTGACTAAATTTGTTGTTCAGTGTTTGTTCAACCCGCTGGTTAAAATGGAGTACTGGCAAAACTGCAATGAAATAATCTGATATTATACTTGTTCTGTTGTTTGACCACCGAAACAGAAAAAACATGTGAATGATACATGTGGTTGTATTAAATCACAGCCTAGGTGATCACAGAGGGTAGGAGGAGACTACAGGGAGGTTTAACCAGCAGGGTATTCCAGGAACAGCATTGAGAGTAGGATCATGTATTGTTAAAAAGTTATAATCCTTAAAATGTTCATAAAATCAAACAAACTTTTGATTCTTTGTATGGTCTGCCTTTTTTTCTTCAGTAGCCATTCAGTGTATTTACACTCGGTAAGTATCTCTCTATATCGAAGTCGTTTTAGTGGTAGTGGTGGAGTCAGATTCAGATTGCCTAATTTAGCATGAGGGATTGACAGGAAAACAATGCCAGTGCAATTTGATCGAATTAATGTAAGCCTCACTGTGTACTGTTGGCTGTCTTTACACCGTACAGAGCTGTAGTATTACTGCTACTGCAAACGGAACATCAAACCGCTGCTGCTTGATATTAAAAGTGTTGAAGCGCTGGGTACCTCTTATCTTAAATCAGTAAGAGTTGTGTTTATCACAACTGTTCAACACAAATGTGTCTACAAAACAAAATAGCGGCCATGTTGAGCATTTTTTCATCAGCAGGTCAGTTGTATATACTGCAGGGAGAAATGGAAGAGTGAAGAGCAACTACATTGAGCTGTTAGCTGAAGAATTACAGGCCGCAGAAGTCCAACTCCCCATCATTGTAAACGTTACTGTGCCCTGCTGTTGTTTGGAACACTACTAGCTGTGTGTGCAGCATGACACCAGATAGTCAATTATTCTTGACGGACGACTTCTTTTTTTTCTTCTTTTTTTAAACAACCACAGTTTGTTTGGCTGCACTGTTAACAGATACAGTGGCTGCTCTAATGTCGGATTACTTACAAAGTAGAAGCTCAATGACTGTTTTCTGTAGTATTTAATCACAAGTGTAGCAGAAGTACTGGTAGTTTGTTTGTATTTGTCAAACAAAACAAACAAACAAAAAATAACAATTTGAGAGAACGGAAACTGGGCTGATCATTCGCTAACATAGCTTCTCTTACCACTGCTACGCAGATGATATGCAACTCTACCTATTCTTCCCCAAGACAATCGCATTGTCTCAGCGCGGATCACGGACTGTCTCTCGGACATATCTGCATGGATATTCTCATCTGTGACACCACGATGGTGGAACGAGCTACCACACGCCATCAGAGCAGGGGCGTCCCTCTCTAACTTCAAGAAGCTCTTGAAAACTCATCTCTTCCGAGAACACTTTTTCTTGTAACGCCTTCTTCTATCCCCTTACAATTATCTTGTATTGATACTTACTTCTTTCCCTAGGTATTTACCCCATTGATGTGATATGTGCTATTAGCTCTTAGTATTTATTGCTGCTCTTACTAGTATGTATTGTCAGTTGTAGATATAGTGCTGTATTGATGCTCTGTAAATGCTCTGTACTTGTATAGCGCCTTTCTAGTCTTTTCGACCACTCAAAGCGCTTTTACACTACATCTGCATTCACCATTCACTTACATTCATTCACTGGCAGAACAGCCACCAGGGGCAATTTGGGGTTCAGTATCTTGCCCAAGGACACTTCGACATGCATCCTCGGGGAGCCAGGATTGAACCACCTTCCGATTAACGGCCAACCCACTCTATCTCCTGAGCCACAGTCGCCCCTCTGTTGATGCTTGTATGTTGTTCCTCAAATGTAAGTCACTTAAATAAAAGCGTCTGCCAAATGAGTAAATATAATGTAAAGCAAAAAACGCTTGCTGCACTCAACTGCACTTTCAAATGAATTTATTTTAGTTAGTTTCAGTTAGTTTTCATTACTCTCAAATGTGTATTTTTGTTTGATTTTTAAGAAGTTTTGTTTGACTAAGTTGGCACAAATCTGATCCCATACAGGTGTCTCCAAATCAAACAGGATGGACATTTTAAGGATTACAACTTTAAACATTTCCACCACTGAGAAGTGGCAAGAGAAGGGAAGTATAAGAATTTAAATGCATTTAAATGCACAGAAAGTCTCTGAACAGAGTGTTTCAGTAAAACAGTTTAAACCTAAGAACAGGTGCGACCCCTCCGTAAGAGTGTAAGGTGTGAGTTTGAGGTGGGGGGTGGAGGGGTCTGTGAGAGGGAGTCCACAACACAGGCAGCTCCTCCACATACCAGGCAGGATGCAGAGGCCGACTTTTTAGGCGGTTTGATAGGCGGAGGGGACGCATTGTCCCACTCCCAAAATGCCATAGAGTTCTGCAGGACAAGACAGCCCTCCACCTGCTGAGGAGGAGGAGGAACAGAGGTTTCACCCGACCCCCAACCGACCGGCATGGGACACATGAGCAGACAGGAGAGGACAGGAACAAAAGAGAAGAATGGGAAAGAAAACAGAAGGCAGCATGCACATGAAGTCTTACTGAAGGACGAAGAAGAAATAAAAAAAAACTCAAACAGGAATTCTGTTACAGAACACAAACAAACAAAACTCATGGCAAACAGAGAAAATAAAGACATGCTAGTACACTACATAATGTTAGACAACAGAGCGGGGGGGGGGGGGGGGGGGGGGGGGCTTCAGAGGGAAGGTTATAGGTTGGTGTTTCTACCTCTTTCAGGTCGTTGTCGAGGTTCAGGTGCTCCGTTTGTTGTCTGTGACGGTCTTTCCTTCGCTGAGCTGTCGCCGTCCTATGAGCCCACCTGCAGTTAGAACAATGAGGAATTAGTCTAGGTATTCAACGATGTGAATTCTGTTTAAAATACAGCTTATTAACACATTGCCATTCACAGAAACTGCTTTCTCCATGAACATTTTTATTTACTTTCTTTCAAGTGAGACGAGAAGATCGTTTTCAATCTCCAATCTGTGTGTTAGGACACGGTTTGCCTAGTTCAGCACAAATACTACAGGAAGAGGGAAAAAAGCTAGCCTGGCTTTGTCCAAAGTGCAAACCAGAGGTGCTCAGGTTTGTATTCAACCAGGGACCATTACTGCATTGCTCATCACTCTCTCCTTTCATGTCATCTGTCTACTGTCAATTGTCCAGCAAAGGCCTAAAATGAACAAATAAGCGTACAGTATTAGGCTACCTAAAAAGTTAAACTATTGCTTTATTTATTTAAAAAATATTTTTCTTTTCCTCCTGTCTTTATGCTTCACTGTTTTCCTGCAGACATACAGGCAGACTAAAATATAGAGCAGAACCGTGGCCCACCATGGCTCACCCTGTCTGCGTCTTAAAAGGAAGTTTTTCCTTGCCTCTGTCTCCTAGTGCTGCTCTTGGTGGGAACTGTTGGGCTTCTGTAAATAGCATCATAGAGTACGGTCTAGACCTGCTCTTTTATGAAAAGTGTTGTTGCGATTTGGTGCTATATAAATTAAACTGAAATTGAAATTAAAATAAAAGTGCACTTAAAATGCTCTGATAAAGGCTACCCTTGATATGTGTCAGCAAACTTGTCAGTTTCAAAACTGGTATTAAACTGTACTGAAGACATGAGGGTTCAGTTAAAGTTCTTTCCTTTGAACAGCTGAGTGTCGGCCTCCGTAGTGTAGCTCTTAGTGATTTGCTTTGAATGAAGTGTAAGACAGATGATGCTGTGTGAAGTGTATTCTAAAATACAGCTAACTAAATGTAGTTTTTCAGTCAATAAGCATGACACATGAAGCACAAGAAGCCACTGTGCAAAAGCCTGAAGTGTTGGTGCTGACTTTGTTTTCATTCATAGTGATGACATGTATAGCCGCATGTCGTCATTCCGCCGCTGGTTGTCGAGGTGGTGTCCAGCAAACGATGTGGGCTTTGTTGATCATTGGCAGACTTTCTGGGGAAGACCTGGTCTGATCCGGAGAGACGGCATCCATCCCACTTGGGACTCATTTCTAGAAATCTGGCCAAGTTTATTAGTGGACCAAATCCATGACAACCCAGAGTTGAGACCAGGAGGCAGAGTCGCAGTTTAACACACTTCTCTGCTCCTCCATTTCAGGAGTTACTTAGTGAAAATCCTATAGTGACGGTGTCTGTCCCCCGACCATCGAAATTATTTAAAAAGGTAAACAGAAGAGGAGCTGTGCATAAAAACCTCATAAAAATTAAAACCACAAGAGCAATAGTGCAAACGAATAGGAGAGTTAAATGTGGACTCTTAAACATCAGATCTCTCTCTTCTAAAGGTGTACTAGTAAATGAACTAATATCAGATTATGATATTGATTTATTTTGTCTTACTGAAACCTGGCTGGGTGATGGAGAATATGTTAGCCTAAATGAATCCACCCCTCCCAGTCATATTAATACTCACATTCCTTGAGGCACAGGCCGAGGAGGTGGAGTTGCAGCTATCTTCGACTCTAGCCTACTAATCAGCTCTAAACCTAAACCAAACTATAACTCATTTGAAAGTCTTGTTCTTGGTCTTTCGCACCCAAGTTGGAAATCACTGCAACCAATTCTCTTCGTTATAGTGTACCGAGCACCTGGTCCGTATTCTGAATTCTTATCTGAATTTGCAGAGTTTTTGTCAACTTTAGTCCTTAAAACGGACAAAGTTATTATTGTAGGGGATTTTAATATTCATGTGGACGTTGAGAATGACAGCTTTAGTACTGCGTTTATCTCTCTGTTAGATTCAATTGGCTTCTCTCAGAGTGTTCATGAACCGACTCACTGTTTTAACCACACCCTCGACCTTGTTTTGGTGTATGGTATTGAAATTGAACATTTAATAGTGTTCCCACAGAATCCCTCTTTATCCGACAACTGTTTGATAACTTTTGAGTTTGTATTGCTGAACTACTTGCCATTGGGCAAAAATTTCTATACAAGATGTCTGTCTGATAGTGCTATAGCTAAATTTAAGGATGCGATTCCATCAGCTCTAAATACATTATCTAGTCACAAAGTAACAGAGGACTCCTATGCTAGTTTCAGTCCCTCCCAAATCGATCATCTTGTTGATAGTGCTGCAGGCTCGCTGCGAATGACACTCGACTCTGTAGCCCCTCTAAAAAACGAAAATACTAAAACAAAGACGGTTAGCTCCATGGTATAATACTGAAACTCGCAAATTAAAGCAAATATCGCGGAAACTTGAGAGGAATTGGCGTTCCACCAAAGTGGAAAATTCTCGTTTAATTTGGCAAGATAGTCTTAAAACTTATAGGAAGGCCCTCCGTAATGCCAGAGCAGCGTACTACTCGTCATTAATAGAGGAAAATAGGAACAACCCAAAGTTTCTTTTCAGCACTGTAGCCAGGCTGACAGAGAGTCACAGCTCTATTGAGCCAAGTATTCCCATAGCTCTCAGTAGTTACGATTTCATGAGCTTCTTTAATGATAAAATTCTAGCTATTAGAGACAAAATTCACCAAGACCTGCCCTCAACTGGCACCGACTTATCTCTTAACTCAGGAACCTTAGAAACAGCTGTAGAACCAGATACATGTTTAGACTGTTTTGCTTCCCTCAATCTTTACCAACTAACTTCAATAATTTCTTCATCTAAACCATCAACCTGCCTCTAAGACCCCATCCCGACTAGGCTGCTTAAAGATGTTTTACCCTTAGTTAGCACTTCTCTACTAGATATGATCAATCTATCTCTATCAACAGGCTATGTACCACAGTACTTTAAAGTAGCTGTAATTAAACCTCTTCTGAAAAAGCCCAAACTTGATCCGGATGTTTTAGCCAACTATAGACCTATATCTAACCTTCCATTTCTCTCTAAGGTTCTGGAGAAAGCAGTTGCTAAACAGCTGTGTGACTTTCTACAGAGCAATAGTTTATTTGAGGATTTTCAGTCAGGATTTAGAGCTCATCATAGCAGAGAGACAGCACTGGTGAAAATTACGACCTCCTTATTGCATCAGACAAAGGACTTGTCTCTGTACTGGTTTTATTAGATCTTAGTGCTGCATTTGATACCATTGACCATCAGATCCTATTGCAGAGACTGGAATATTTCATTGGCATTAAAGGAACCGCTCTAAGCTGGTTTAAGTCCTATTTATCAGATTGATTTCAGTTTGTACATGTTAACGATGAGTCCTCCATGCATGCCAAAGTTAGTCATGGAGTTCCTCAAGGATCTGTCCTCGGACCAATCCTCTTCACTTTATATATGCTTCCTTTAGGCAATATTATCAGGAAACATTCCATAAGCTTTCATTGTTATGCAGATGATACTCAATTATATCTATCGATCAAGCCAGATGAAACTCATCGGTTAGATAAACTTCAAATGTGCCTTCAGGATGTTAAAACCTGGATGACCTGTAATTTTCTCATGTTAAACTCAGATAAAACTGAAGTTATTGCTCTGGGGCCTAAGCACCTCCGTGACGCATTATCTAAAGATATAGTTTCCCTGGATGGCATCGCCCTGGCCTCCAGCACCACTGTGAGGAATCTTGGAGTTATCTTTCATCAGGACATGTCGTTTAAGTCTCACATTAAGCAAATTTCAAGGACCGCCTTTTTTCACCTACGTAATATTGCAAAAATCAGGAACATCCTGTCTAAAAATGATGCAGAAAAACTAGTCCATGCATTTGTTACTTCTAGGCTGGATTACTGCAATTCCTTATTATCAGGCTGCTCGAAAAAGTCCATTAAGACTCTTCAGCTGATCCAGAATGCTGCAGCACGTGTTCTGACAGGAACCAGGAAAAGAGATCACATTTCTCCTGTTTTAGCTTCTTTGCATTGGCTTCCAGTAAAATCCAGAATAGAATTTAAAATCATTCTTCTTACCTACAAAGCTCTTAATGGTCAGGCACCATCTTATCTTAAAGAGCTCATAGTACCTTACTACCCCACCAGAGCACTGCGCTCCCAGAATGCAGGGTTACTTGTGGTTCCTAGAGTCTCCAAAAGTAGACTAGGAGCCAGAGCGTTCAGCTATCAAGCTCCTCTCCTGTGGAACCAGGTTCCAGTTTGGGTTCAGGAGGCAGACACCATCTCCACATTTAAGAGTAGGCTTAAGACTTTCCTCTTTGATAAAGCTTATAGTTAGGGCTGGCTCAGGTGAGTCCTGAACCATTCCTTAGTTATGCTGCTATAGGCCTAGACTGCCGGGGGATTTCCTATGATGCAATGAGCTCCTCTCTCCTCTACTTTCTCTCCCTCTGTATGCAACCTCATCCCATTATTGCATGTTACTAACACAACTTCTCCCCTTTCTGGTAGTCTTGTGCTTTCTCGTCTCTCTCCTCTCTCTCATCACTTCCTGCAGGTTTTCTGGCTCTGGAGCTGTGGAGTCTGGATCTGTGGTTGCGGGTCACCTGCTGCCCCCGTGTTCCTGCTCGACAGCCTCTGCTGCAACGACTATTGTTGCTAGTCTTATTATTGTATAGTTATTATTGTTATTATAATCATTAACATTACGATTGTTACCATTAACACTATTATAAATATCTGTACCTTTTTTCATTAAGTCTATAACAACATCACCTTCACTGTCTGTACCTCAGTGTGTATATTGTGTAGGCTGCCTCCCTCCCCTCTCTCTCTCCTTACATCCCTCTCTTTTTCTCTCTATTCCTCTCCTGCTCTCTCTCTCTCTCTCTCTCCCTCTCTCTCTCCTTCACCCCAACCGGTCGAGGCAGATGGCCGCCCACCCTGAGCCATGGTTCTGCTCGAGGTTTCTGCCTCTTAAAAGGAAGTTTTTCCTTGCCTCTGTCGCCTAGTGCTTGCTCTTGGTGGGAACTGTTGGGCTTCTGTAAATATCATCACAGAGTACGGTCTAGACCTGCTCTTTTATGAAAAGCGCTGTGAGATAACTGTTGTTGTGATTTGGTGCTATATAAATAAAATTGAATTGAATTGAATTGAATTGAATTCGGATGTCAGTCAGAAGGTGGAGGAGGACTCACTTGTTATTGGGCGGCCCCGTGTTGAGCACGTCAGCCTGCAGTTTAGGGAAGAATCCCTGCTCATATTTGCCCTGACCGATCTTCATGTCCAGCAGGTGTGGATGGATGGCGGTGTGGTCAATCTTCATCAGCCGCTGCTCGATGGCCTGAGCTGTAGGGGAACCGGAATCCATTTAGACACTTGGAGCAGTAAATTGTCATTTTTTCTCAGTTTTTCTGCATACGTTTAGTTTTACTGCAGTTCATGTAATCAAACCTTAAGGATAATTCCATTAACCATACATTTCTCGCAGTTATGATAACATCTTACTCTGAGATCTAAGAACATAGCAACATCACAAGACATTTCACATGGCCAAAATATTACCCAAACTGTCTGTTGTACACCTCCATCACCACCATTTTCTCTTCTAAAAAGTTTGTTTACAACCTATCTGGTCATCTGGCCATTCCTGCCCCACCTGATGCTCCCAGATCTCAGCAACTTGGCAAATACGAGGAATGACGTCCAAAATAATTAGAGATATATTAAATAATTATCCTTTGATTTGACTAAGATGCAAGCTGCTGTGATTACATGTATTAGGGTGCAGTGTCAAAGACAGGTGTAGCCATAAAAAACATCTTTTGTCACCAGTGAAGGACAACAGGTGTGATCTGGGACATTTCAGCTGCAGTGTGTGAATGTAGCCAAAGAGACAGACATGTAAATAATGGAGGACAGACTTGACCAACAGAAACAATGACGAGGAACAAACTCTTCTCACAGCACACATCTCACGGCCTAACGAAGCAAACGTTAAGCTATGCTAACAGCTGCTCAGTTGCCAAGAAGAGAAAACCTTGCTGGACTTGTTTACATTATAAATCACAGATAAAGTATGCTGTCCTTTCATCTCTCTCTGTGACCCATTCATCACTCCCTCTCTTGCCCCAGGGATTCAGAAGTCTTCAGAAGTCTTTGACCTGCTTTTAACAGCAAACACACAACGCTCTTATCAGCAGGTGGTTAAACTGTCCAGGTTATGTTGCTCTGCTCGAGCCCTGACCTTGTTTTGCCTCAGACAGGAGCTGCAGTAAGAGCAGCAGAGGGAAAGCCTGCCTATTGTCTGGGTAATTAGGTCCCTGCATGCATCATCGCCTTCAAATGAGCTCACCCTCACCAATTAAAGCTTTACATCGCTCGGCACATTAGCATGAAACAGACAACATGCACAGAGACACACACCAAAAAACAAAGAAGAGAATTAATGCAACAGCTCTGGCTGAAATGACAATCCTGATCACTCTTAGCAAAGAAAATAATGATCTGAGCTACAAAGTGCTGCAAAGCTGAGAACAGTGAGCCAAACTGAAAGCTGATACATACACAGATAATAGTTGTGATGCTTGAATCATCATATTTTCTCTCTGATATATCAGTCCAAAACAGGTTATAAAGCAGTTTCAGTATGAATTCATAACATCATATTCTTCTATTTTTGTTTACTATGGTTGGTGGTAAATGACACGGAAATAATCAGATGATATCAGACAGCTATCAACTGTGGAAACACACAGTACACACTGTATGTCTTGTAACACTATAATGTTAAAGAAATAAATATTTTGAAAAATACACTTGTTTGCTTTTTTTTCAAGAGCAAAATGAAAAAAATGGATCAATCAGTCTGTGAGTTATTCATTAATATCAATATTTTTATACTGACAAGGAAAAGGTATTGAGTATTGAATGTGAGGTGTTGCTCATTGTGATGAACCCACAGAGAGATTACAGCAGCTCAGCTCTAGCTAGTGTTTTAGCATCTTTTAGCTCATTGTTTTGGTTTCAATGACGCCAGTTTACTGTTTTTGGTTCAGTCTCAAGGCTCTCATCAACCTTGTTTCCAGCTGCAGCAGGCAGCCGTTTCCAGAGACAAAGCTCCAATAAACCCACTGCACTCTATCTGCAGGCCGCCTCAGCTCCACCTGTTGGCCCATTTTTGGATTAGCCAGAGTCAGGCACCGCTAAGATGGCTGGTTTGTTGATAAGTTTAAACTTATGAACAGCTAGTGCAGCTTGTAAATCAGTTAACCACAAACAGACACATGCAGCTCTGTGGATTCCCTGTTGGTCTCCAACAGTCTGAGTCAGTCCTGAGTCTCACTTCCTGCCTCACACTGCACATTCAGCACCCATTAAAGGCCTAAGAAAGGGAAAGCAAAGCAGCCCTGATTGAGAAAATAAGAAAAAATGGCCTGACCAAACACTGTTGCAGTAAGAAGGTGTCAGAGAGTGTGTGCTTGTGCCTCAGTGAGAGAGGGTGATGGGACATAGAGAAATGAGAAATGGGGTTTTCTGGTCAGTGGGGAGAGCCGAGCTGCTTCTAGGAAATAAATGAGAGACAAGACTTTAGGTGTGTTTTAAAATTGCATGGCACAGCGCAATCCTGTCTGACCTCTAATGGATGACATGTTTTGACGGACGGACAGACATGCACAGCATGCTGATCAGTGAGTTATTAACCTACAAATAAAACCACTACATTTCTGAATAAGCCTCTCTAAGCACCTTTGTTTGACTTTTAATCATATTCCCTGTGAAGTAATCCATACTCACACCTCCACTAAGCTTACCAGACTCCTTGAGGATGGAGCACCTCTGGTAGCTGGAGGATCTGAGGCTGGGAGCGCGGACGTTGTAAAGGCGGGCCTTGTCGATGCGAGAGTCAAAAACCCGGAGCAGTGGCTCCTTCTCCTCCCACTGAGACATGATCTTGTTGTCGATGAAGGTGGCAAACATCTGCGTCTCAATGAAGTGGGAGAGGAAGGGCAGGTAGGGCTCTGGCTGGTCAGACAGGAACGAGGCCTAGAGCAGGCACGAGCACAAGATACAGAAATATATGTACAGTTGTCAGTTTCTAGAAATTAGCCAGAAGACAATAAACAAAAAAAAAACAACAACTAGCACCGATTCAATTACTGTGTTAATTTGCTGTGTCAAGACTGCTGCTTCACTGTAAACATCTTCCAGTTCTCCACTCGACTGCTGGAGAGGCAGATACAGGACGTTTGGAGTGTGTATCAACAGTACATTCAATATATAATATAAACAGCATGAAGAGACCTCAACAAAAACCTGAAAGTGTGATATATTCAGAAGTAAATCCAGTTTTAAAATTTAAACAACTTAGTGTGGATGAAATCTAACATCTAAGGACATGTGAGACTATTGCCAACACCATGATATAATCCCACATAAATCACCTGTCCACTCTACGATTTTTATTCTGTAATTCCTGTTAATGCTAACATTATGAACATTTATAGAATGTACTACTGCAAAAGGTCAACTTAGACATAACAGCCTGTCCCATAGAAAAGCCTGGTTTTTACTAAACTGATGAAAATGTAAAATATACTCACAACAGCAGATTTTCATACTGTGCAGTAGATGATTTTTCCAAAACTCACAAGGGAAGCCTACTGCATGTTGTATGCAAACAGTGTCTTTTACGATCCCTACACTGCTCTGAATGCAAGTCATAATTCATCACACAGGCACAAACATGTCAAACTGAATTTGTTTTCTAGTCTTCCACAAACACAATGCAATTTCACCCTCATAGAATAATTCAGATGACCATGTCTCTGTCTCTCTCTTCACTCTGTACAGGCACAGTGTGTCTTAGAAAGGTAAAAAATAAACCCTAGTAGGAAGTGGTGTTTTTTCTGTGGTCACCTTGTCAAAGTTGTGCATCTGCTCCCTGTTGGTGAGCCAGGACTCCAGGTCCGGGGCGCTCTGGATGACAAAGGCTTCGTAGTCTGCAAACATGGTGGTGAAGCGGCTGGCGAACACCTCTCTCAGCTGGATGTTCAGCTTGGCGTTCCTTAGCTCCTCCTCTTCGGCTGCAGTCCGGCCTCCTTGCCCCTCAGTGCCCTGGGCTTTGACTCCGGCCCTCAGGGCGACCACGCGGGCCACCGTCACCCCAGTGCGTTTGGTCAGCGCCTGCAGTCTCTCCAGGGTGGCGTTTCCCTGCAGCAGCTCCAGCACAGCCAGTTCCTCCCCAGCCAAATTGCCATTACGTCCATCGTCCTCTAGCTGCCGGAAAGCGACAGTCTTACGCTCTCTGCCAGGGGTGGAGGGGGTGCTGCCGGGGCTGGTGCGGGTCCGTGGTGGGGCCCCTGTGTTGGCAGAAATTCCGAAGCTAAGCAGCACCTCGCTGAGCTCCTGGATGAACTCAGCCTTGTTGGGGAAGTGGGGAAAGTCCTCAGGAAGCTCAATGTAGTGCTTGTCAATGTCAACAAAACACAGGTTGGCCTGGGAAAGGGAAAGAAAATAATATCACAACAACACAGCTCAGGAATAGACCATGATCACTGTAAACTGATCTTACTTCACATTTCTGCAACCACAAAAACAAAATCAAACCTTTACATCACAGACAGAAATTAAGAGCGTCCTGACAGCACAAACAGGCCTAAAGCTGGGACAGGTGTTATCAGGAGGCTTACTGGGGACAGATTAGGAGCTATGATGGGGGTTGGGAGATGTAGAGTACAGAGAATGTAGGTCACTGTGATTGATAATAACACATTTTCGGAGATAAATCTAAATCTGACATAATGGAGTTTGAGTTGCACCTTAAAGCAAAACCTGTAAGTCACTCAAAATATGCTCAATTTGCACAGCTGGAAGATTACTATAAAAGAGTGAAGAGGAGGAATCCATTGTTCAGTTACGACAACATAGTAGTAGAACATGGCAACACTGCAACAACTACAAGAAACTCAGATGATTTTGAACAGACCAACAGTAAGCCACTTTATTGGAAGGTCAAACTGTCAGAACCAATCCTTCATTACACAGGAATACTGTGTGAGCACCAAAGATGAAGCAGGTAGATTTGTAAACTGTGATGGATCTTTACAACAGTTTGGCTAACAATCTCACTGTTCGCTGTCATTTTCTCTTCCACGTGAATTTGACTAATCAGGAGGTGTGTTTACAGCCGGCCTGACTGCTCGTGTTTCTTGCACCGCTGGATCTTTTTGTGAGGTTGCTGTGTTCCCAGATCTCTGCAATGACTACATTGTTATCATTACAGAGATACAGTCAAAACTACAGAAATAAGTATCCAAGTTACAAATTGAAGTTTAAAATCAAGCACCATATTTGAACACTTCAAAAAGTGATGGTATTTAGAGAAAATATGTTATCTGCAGTTGATACTCAAGTCAAGAACCAGTACACAGAAGTATTTGTTGCTGCTAAAACTTTACTCTTCCATAAATAAGACTACTATGGTAAAGGTTCTGAGGCTCAGACACTTTCTACCTCTTATCTATGTGTTGTTTTTGCAGGAAAATCCTACAGGGAACACATGTGACATGTAGACACTGTAAACTTAATTTTGTTGAATGCACAAGATGGCTCACTCAGATGCTGTGTGTTTTTGGATGCAGGACTGAAATTAGATCTAAGTGCAGCTCATTTTGCCTCTGAAGGACGGGACTCACCGACTAAAAGAGCTTGAGCAAACTCTGCATGTCTCTACAAAGGTTGCCCTAGTTTGGAACATAAAGTTCATTAAGAATACTTGTATATGCACAAAGAGAGAAACATGTAGAAAAGGGATGATAATAGTGCCATGCAATCATGTCTGCAATGCAAACATAACCAATGTTTCAATCATCTGACATCAGGTAAAAAGAAGAAGACCTGGACTAAAGTACAAGGCCAACCTCATCTGGCATTAATTCCCCAATTACATCCATATTTCCCTCTCTGTTTTGTTTTAAGCCATTCTTTCATCATCAGCCCATTTCTAGGTCACTGCCACTTCAAAGGAACATTCAGAAACACAGGGAGATTCACCGCTCTAGGCAGATGAGGGACCCCATATTGGAGGGGGGGCAGACAGCCTTGTGGGCGTTCTGCAGCAGCATCCTGCGCTGGCTGAGATCATTAGCATCCATATGGAATGTGCCGGATTAACGAGCGCTGGGAGTCGGGGGATGTAAGCAAAGCCGGAAGCCGGCGAGCCTGGATGTTCTGCTTTGTTGGGGCTTTATCTCGCTTTAACACATGAATACACACACACACATTAACTACAACCCTGCATTGGGCTAAATAGTGGTTTAAATCCAGTGCACATTCACCTCCTCACTGTCTGACAAGTGCTGGGGCTGAAATAATACAGCAAGAAGAATACAGAGATTGAAATCCCCTTCAGACTCACTCTGCCTTGAGGTAAATTTGCATACCAACAATAGGTAATTCTCTGTTCCCATTATGTATCTGTGTTTGTGTGTGTGGCTGGACAAATGACAGGACAGACAGAGGCCTTTCACACTTGCCTTTCTTAGTCCTGCTAACCCAACAATTCCCACCACGAGCAAGCACTTTTCCACACTGGCAAGGCGAAACTCCCTTTTTAACAGGCAGAAACCTCGAGCAGAACTTACATTATAGTCTCAACAGCAGTGGACACTGGAGATACAGCATATCTGGGCAGGAATGGACAATTCTTTGCTTTGCGGGCAAACCTTTCTGTTACTGCTGCAAAGCTAACATGAAGCTAACATGAAGCTAACATGCAGAGAGGAGGAGACGGTTCCAGAGCAGCACAGCAGCTCCAGACTGCAATACTCACAACTATACTGCTGCTATAGCTAATATTACAACAACCACATGTCTTGGTGAACTAGAAAGTAAGCTGGATGTTTGTGGGCAAGTTATTTAATGTCACTGACGCACAGATCATGGCTGGAATGGCTGGAATACAGTTGTGTAGCAGGGTGTGAACCACTTTGTTTGTTTCCCCATTTACAGAGCCAGGGCTGAGCACAAACACCAGACGTTTTACAGCGCAAACACAGAACACACAGCTAACAGACCGTGAGGAGATTTTCACTGCTTTTGACAAAAAGAAGTATACTGGATATTTATCGCTCTCCCTACCTTTAAAGAGGTGGGATTATGCTCATTTTCAGGTTAAAAATTCCCATTTAGGGGTTGTACCAGAACAGGTTTACATGGTTAAATTTTCAAAAAACACTACACACATTTTTTTTTGTCATACTGCACATTGCTGCAGCCACTTTTTCACCCTGTGTTGAAGGCTTCGTTTTAGCTATGGAGTGATACATCTTGTCTCTAAATGATCTTTGTTGGGAGTTGCACAATTCCTAGTTAAGGACTACTAGCCAATCAGAAGAAGAGAAGGGCGGGTCAGCGAGAAGCCTGTAAACAGCTTTGGTTCAGCTGTTGCCGACCAGCTTGACAACATGGACTGGAGCATGAGTTTCAGAGTGGTGAGTTATTAATCTGTAACAAAAGGATCTTTCATCCATAAAGTTTTAACTGAGCTCTGTCTCTACATCACATGTCCACTGACTACCTGGAGGGTAGTTAGTGTTTGGAAGGGAGAGGAGGTGTGTGCTGCAGCTCACTGTTTTCTCACCACTGTTTTTGAGGGCATGTCGGACTAGCCGCTTGGTGAGCGTTTTATGAGGAGCATTTAGCTTTCATCCTTGTGTCGTCACAGGGATGACACATGGAGCTAGCTCCGGCCGTAGGATGGCGGTCTTGAAACGGCAGCCTCATACTATTCCTTTGGGGTGGACTTTGGGCTTTTTCACTTTGCCAATCTATTACATGCACAAAAATGGTATATAACTCATTAAAGGAGAGGGAAAAAGCCAAAAAGCATAATACCACCTCTTTAAGACTTTACTGACTTGTTATTAAAAAAATCTCAATTTATTCAAATAGTAAGTGGACACTACTTGTATGACCCTTCTAGTCTTTGGACCGCTCAAAGCACTTTATACTCCATGTCACGTTCACACACTTTCACACACTGATGGCAGACGCTGCCATTCAAGATGCCAACTGCTCATCAGAAAGGAACTAATCATTCACACACTAATGGCATGGTCCTCATCAGCAATGTGGGGTTCAGTACCTTGCCCAAGGACACTTCGACATACAGATTGGAGGAGCCTGGGATCGAACCGCCAACCTTCTGATTAGTGGACGACCCGCTCTGAGCCACACCACCCCCTATGGATTTTTATTTTCATTGTGGATAAAATGTGCCTTGAACTTCTCAGGACATTTCTCAAAGTAAGACATGTTGCCTTAATCAATGTGTACCTCCTGAGGAAGCTCCAGTTTAGAGCGGTCAGTGCCCTCTTTGGACTGCAGGCCCATCAGGTAGGGAACAGGAGCGTCCAGGAAGTGGAGGAGAGAGGCTGGCAGGATGGGAACATAGACGTGCTGCCACTGGAAGGGAAACAGCAGGGTGGTGATGCCCTCGGCCACTGTCATCAACCGCTGGAAGTCTGAGAGGAGAAGAAAGAAGGTACTATGAGGATAATAAAGTGGATCCAAGCCCTCTTTTCCTCCCGTGGCTTCATCTTGTAAGATGGAGGAACACAAATATGACAAAACAAGTAGAGAGGAAGCACTTTATCACTGTGCACAGCCTGAGTGCTCTTTAAATTAAGGTCATAACATGTTCAACATGGAACTAAAATCTCAATTAACTCAGAAATCAGTCTGATTTAATCAAAGTTTAAGGGGTGAAACAGTTCCAATTTAAAGGTCATGACTGCTACTGCTATCACGTTCTGATTTTGACAAAACAGGTGAGCAATGACACATTTTAACGTCTGGGTGTTCAAAACTGCACAGCAATGAGTCTGACATCAACAGAGCAAAATATTAACATGTGATGTACATTTTTATGTAATTCCATGTTTTGGTGCTAAATGCGGAGATGTTTCTGCACTGCATTTCCCACTCTTGCTGATGACTTCTGCTTATGCAAAAACAAATATTTACCACAAACCAGTTGTTTCTGAACTAACAATATACTACTTTAAAGAAATAATTCAGTGTAATAACTGTTGTTGTGATTTGGTGCTATATAAATGAAATTGAATTGTTATTCTATTCTTCTATTTTTCTGATTGCTAAACAATATTAAAAAATCTCCAAGCCAGGTGGTTCTTGCTGAACATGTTTCATTTAAAAAATGCTCAGTAATTTCCTAAAACAGCTGCTCACTGTAGTTATTGAAACAGGAGGAAGTAGTGCATTTATTTTCAGCGGTAGATGAATCCAGATATGTAAAAATATATGAGTTTAAATACTGAGTATTTGGGGCAGGAGAACTTAGTCAGAATAAAGTTCAGTGTGTGTTCATGATGATGAAGGAACATGTGGTTCACTGATGAGGTTTGCAAATAAAATTTCTTGAATCCACCTTAGAAAGAGAAGCAATGATCCATGTTCAGATTATAACAAAGATCCTAGGTATTGCTAAATTGTTTATGAAAAAGGCAGTGATGTGTTCTCCATAACCATGTAAGGATGGCTTTATTACACTATACAGACCCTCAAAATAAGTAGAGGCAGTGGGGGAGAAAGAGATAGAGGTTTATGGAATACATATATGTGAGAGTATATACAGGTGCTGGTCATATAATTAGAATATCATCAAAAAGTTGATTTATTTCAGTAATTCCATTCAAAAAGTGAAACTTGATATTATATTCATTCATTACATACAGACTGATATATTTCAAATGTTTATTTCATTTAATTGTGATGATTAAAACTGACAACTAATGAAAATCCCAAATTCAGTATCTCCCCGAAAATTAGAATATTACTTAAGACCAATACAAAAAAGGATTTTTAGAAATGTTGGCCAACTGAAAAGTATGAACATGAAAAGTATGAGCATGTACAGCACTCAATACTTAGTTGGGGCTCCTTTGGCCTGAATTACTGCAGCAATGCGGCGTGGCCTGTAGTCCATCAGTCTGTGGCACTGCTCAGGTGTTATGAGAGCCCAGGTTGCTCTGATAGTGGCCTTCAGCTCTTCTGCATTGTTGGGTCTGGTATATCGCATCTTCCTCTTCACAATACCCCATAGATTTCTATAGGGTTAAGGTCAGGCCAGTTTGCTGGCCAATTAAGAACAGGGATACCATGGTCCTTAAACCAGGTACTGGCAGCTTTGGCACTGTGTGCAGGAGCCAAGTCCTGTTGGAAAATGAAATCTGCATCTCCATAAAGTTGATCAGCAGCAGGAAGCATGAAGTGCTCTAAAACTTCCTGGTAGACGGCTGCGTTGACCTTGGACCTCAGAAAACACAGTGGACCAACACCAGCAGATGACATAGCACCCCAAACCATCACTGACTGTGGAAACTTTACACTGGACTTCAAGCAATGTGGATTCTGTGCCTCTCCTCTCTTCCTCCAGACTCTGGGACCTTGATTTCCAAAGGAAATGCAAATTTTACTTTCATCAGAGAACATAACTTTGGACCACTCAGCAGCAGTCCAGTCCTTTTTGTCTTTAGCCCAGGCGAGACGCTTCTGACGCTGTGTCTTGTTCGAGAGTGGCTTGACACAAGGAATGCGACAGCTGAAACCCATGTCTTGCATACGTCTGTGCGTGGTGGTTCTTGAAGCACTGACTCCAGCTGCAGTCCACTCTTTGTGAATCTCCCCCACATTTTTTAATGGGTTTTGTTTCACAATCCTCTCCAGGGTGCGGTTATCCCTATTGCTTGTACACTTTTTCTACCACATCTTTTCCTTCCCTTCGCCTCTCTATTAATGGGCTTGGACACAGAGCTCTGTGAACAGCCAGCCTCTTTAGCAGTTACCTTTTGTGTCTTGCCCTCCTTGTGCAAGGTGTCAGTGGTCGTCTTTTGGACAGCTGTCAAGTCAGCAGTCTTCCCCATGATTGTGTAGCCTACAGAACTAGACTGAGAGACCATTTAAAGGCCTTTACAGGTGTTTTGAGTTAATTAGCTGATTAGAGTGTGGCACCAGGTGTCTTCAATATTGAACCTTTTCACAATATTCTAATTTTCTGAGATACTGATTTTGGAGTTTTCATTAGTTGTCAGTTATAATCATCAAAATTAAGGAATGAACACTTATTTATATATACATATAAATATATCAGTCTGTGTGGAATAAATGTATACATTATACAAGTTTCACTTTTTGAATGGAATTACTGAAATAAATCAACTTTTTGATGATATTCTAATTATATGACCAGCACCTGTATGTGCATGAGAGACTTCAATCAAGTGATACAAATTGAATTTGAGAGTGAGTTAAGGTTAAAGACTAGAGGAATTACATTCTGATGGATTCTTTTCAATCAGATTTTCACATGTATGAGAGTGTGTGTGTGTGTCTGAGAGTATTGCTTCTTCTGTTCCCTACAACAGATTAAGGTCAGCGGGTGCAGGCTTTACTATTGAGTTCAACAGCAGTTTCATCAGATGTTATTATGATTGCCAGAGAGAAAAGCCTGCACAACCTTGAGGAAAGAAGAAAAGAAAAAGAAAACATGACAGTTATACCATTTATCCAATCAACTGCTCTCTTCTTCTATGGCCTCCTCCTCCCTTTATCATTTCATTTTATTCCATTCCATCGAATGTGTCCTCCTGTCTGTATGTTCTCTCCAGTGCCTGAACTACTGACCACCCTGATTTATGTTCAACAAGAGAAACGTGTCGTATATGTCTGTTAAACACACATAACGCTTTATATAAACAGCAGCTTTAATGATCCAGATGCTGATAAAGTGAAATGTTTGTGTGAACGGTCTCCATGCTACACGCTAAAAAAGATAATCACAAGATGAATAAATCCCTGTTTTTGTTATCTTCGCTGCAATCTTGACTGTAAGACACTTAACCCCTCATTGCTCCAGAGGCATGCGACCTCTGACATGTATAGCAATTGTAAGTCACTTTGGATAAAAGCGTCAGCTAAATGAATAAATGTAAATGTAAGGGAGCCGGTGTAGGTACCAGATACAATAGTGCAGTAGTGCCCTTGCCTTTAAAGTTCAGAGCAAACTTTAAAGTAGCCATGTCGTTCTAGTATGAGTGACGATTCAGCAACTGGTATGCCTCTCAATTTCTCTCCTCAAATGTGTTCAGAAACAGTTTTTGGTGGAATGTAATAGTGAAATAAGTGAAAGGTTTATGTAGCCTACTACAAACAATGGAACCCAACATTCATACTCAAACCCCATTGGCTTGTATGACAAATTTGTACACAAGATTGTTTTGATTTTTTCTTTAATTGGGTGCTGGGTTAGATGTTATATCTGTAACTAGAGGTACAACGATTAATCAATTAATTGATTAGTTGTCAACTATTAAATTAATCGGCAACTATTTTGATAATGGATTAATCATTCGGAGTCAATTTTAATAAGAATTCTTTTTTGGTTTCTTTACTACTCGATGACAGTAAACTCAAAATCTTTGGGTTGTGAACAAAACAAAACATTTGAGGATATCATCTTGAGATTTGGGAAACACCAGTTCTTGCATTTTATAGACTAAACAACAAATCGATTAATCAAAAAAATAAGTGACAGATTAGTCGACTATGAAAATAATCGTTTGTTGTAGTGCTGTTACAGATCTCTTTCCCTACACAAACAATCACACAATCAAAATTTGGTAGTCTGCGGTGCAAAGACACGGCATCCATTCACCGACGTTCCTGCCACACTACATTCACGTGAGGCCTCGCGGCATCCGTTCACTTCCCATGGGAGAGCCAATCATAATGTGGTATTGTGTTATTGTGGTGTCCAAACAATAATGCTGCGATGATGTGTTGAGAAGAAATCTGCTTGACACTGTTCTTGATCATAAAAGTTTATTACATCAAGGAGTTCAGCATCAATTACAAGCTCTGCAGCAGCTTGGAGAGTGACCCAGCCCGATGGCCACTCTGTCTCTCTGTACATCAAACACAGCTTATATAGGACATGTTTAGGTATCTGTTAGACACCATACAAGGGTCTGAGTCTGCAAACTAAGGCTCCAATCCATATAAGAGCAAAGTTCTATAGGATAAGTGTAGACATCTTGTTGGACACCAGATAAGGGTCTGAGCCTCCACGTAACCACTGACCTCTGCTCTCCCCTTAAAGGTCACTAATCCTCTATCCAGCTGCTACAGTGCTATGTTAAACTGTCAAATGCACATATGTTATACGCCACATTACGAAATCTGGAAATGCAGGGCATGCACATCAGCCTGACTGAGCATATCTGGTACCTACACTGGGACTCACCTGAGATCTGCACTCTACTGAGTGCACTCCTTCATGTGTTTGAAAAAGTGACAAGAGAATGATAGGTAGTGTTGTAGTACTCGAGACCGGTCTTTAGACCACTTTTTGATGTTCTTGGTCTCGTCTCGGATTCGACCACCTTTGTACTCTGTCTTGTCTCTCTAGGATTTTATTTCAAGACCAGTCAAGACCATAACTTTGGGAATATCAATAAATTGCTTTTGCATTGTCTGATTTGTGAACATCCTAACTTTGATTGGAAGTAAAACTTCAAATGCAACCAATAACCCTAATAAACGACCGTCACCCCTCCCTGCGATGCTTACGTTGATTTCAGGTTTAAGTGTTTGTATGTGGCTGTTTTAATCGGAATGTGGCTCTTTCAGATCAGTTTGAGACTTACCTATGATCTCATTCCACATTTTATTGTGTGTCATGTAATGTGGGGAACTGGTCTGGTTCTTGACTCGGTCTCACCCTCCCTCGATCTTGGTCTCGACTTGGTCTCAGCCCCTAAAAGTCTTGGTCTTGTCTCGGTCTCAATAAACTCTGGTCTTGGTCTTGACTTGGTTTCTGTTTGGGCGGTCTTGACAACAACACTACTGATAGGGGTGTGTGTGTGTGTGTGTTAGGTTCATGATTGGAGAGAAATGACTGCTCACTATATTTAAGAGGACATTGCGAAGCATGCATGTTTTGACAACCAAACATGCATGTTGTGACAGGAACTGCGTCTCTTTGACCTACCTGAATTCCATAATACTTTCTCACAGTTTTTACATTTACGCTTTCACTTTTTGTGCACTATGTTTTGTAGCAACTTGTTTCACTGACTTACTCTGTTATGTTGGGTTGGTGGTGTAATCTTCATCTTTATCCATCTGCGTACACTCACTGTACACTCTCACTTTTATGTAATCATATTTATACTCGAGATTTAACCACTGTATAAACTTTTTGTAGCAGGTAGAAAATGTATGACAGACTGCAAGTAAAAAAAAAGCTGCCCATGGATGGATGTGACAACTATGTAAAATAGATGTGTGAATTCACAAGGCAAGTAAAGGGGGCGGAGAGAGAGCAGGTAGTTCAATATCAGGTTCACAGACTTTGTCCCGATTTTTCCCTGTATTGCACTAGCTCTTGTTGACATACATACACACTCCACCACCATGCTCTTTCCCTGTTATTAATTTATTCTGATTTACCTGAAATGAAATGAAGGTGAAGCCATCAATAGCCAACTCACTACTACTCATTGCGTCATCCAGCCAGTAAACAGATGTTTCCAAATTTCACAGCCGGCGTTGTGGTGAACCTTTTGGCCAATTTTATCTTGCATCTCGCTTGGATGGATCCTGTAAGCATGCTGAAGTTAGCATTTAGCTCAGAACACTGCTGTGTTCAAGTATAGATTCACAGAGCGTGCCATTGTAAAGTTTATGTTAGCAAACACCACCATTTTTACTTTTACTTGACCCCAACAAACATTACAGCCTCACAGAAGCTGTGACTGCAGTTGTTTCAAGATGTTATCCAAGTCCATCTATAACTGTTTTCTCTGTGCCTAGTTAGCTTTCCATTTCATTGTTTGACACAATTTCCAAAACATCCATCCCAAACAAGACAGAAGATTTAGACGCTAGGCCACGCAGAACAATCTCTCTCTCTCTCTCTCTCTCTCTCTCTGTACTGTGTGTTTAAGTCTGTATTTGCTTTCTTTCAAGTCTGAACAGGTTCAAAGTTTCTCCCCCACACACCTTTCTGTGGGATATACAGTGAGGGAGTCTGCCAGAAACACTCCAATTTTTTCATGTTACAGCAAATCCTTTCTGACCTGTTCCCCTTCATACTCACATCACAGCTAGATAAGTTTAGCCTGACATGTCCCAAAAACTGCTACTCCTAAAGCGATATTCTTTCACACATCATGAATTTTACCATCTTTTTTTCCCCTCACACAGAAACACATCCGAGCTCATACAGCGAGGCCTTATGGGGAATATTGAGAAGGAATCCAGCAGTTAGTGATTTAATTTTTTCCTCTTGCTGAACTGAGTTGAGCGTCATTTTGTTTGCTGCATTGACAAAGAAACCCCCTGAGAGGTATGACAAGAACAAGCATGTAATTATAAAAAAATAAACAAATCTGATATGAAAGGGTTCAAGGATGCTGAAAAACAGGATGGGACATGTCGAGTCATTGTGAAACTGTAACATGCATCAGGGACTGATAACCACGCAGCTCAGTCTCACAAGGGAAGAAGAAAGCTGTCTGTGGTGAACAGCTGACATTTGGCATTATTCAAATGCAGAGATGGTAGACTTTAGTTCAGCTGCACCATGATAATGTGGTATAATAAAGAGTCAGAACATTACTGTATGGAGGGAAGATTAGAAAGAGATCAAAATAAAAGAGGCTTACAGAAAAATCTCATTCCATGACAAATCAAATAAACAAGCCAAAAAAAATCAATTTCCTGATGGACAGATAACTTTACTCTTTGTTAGGAGTTACTTTAGCTGCTAACTAACTGATATATTGGCTGATTCTGCCCGGACTGGAAGCTTGGTGCTTCGGGGGTGTGTTGATGTTTACACTTCTGTTCGTACAGGAACATGGAGCAGCGTCTCATTAACAGGGAACATTCTCCAGCTTTTATTTACTGAACCCTTGTATCACCTGCCAGCAGCTAAATTACACTGGTGCAGGGTTCTACCCCTCATTACCAAGAAATTAGAGCTTGTTGACAGAAGTGGCACACAGTCAGATCTCTGACTGAATACCTGAACAAAACAAGGACATTTTGTCCCCGAATCAGGTATAGTTTTAATTGGTTCTCTCCAAGAGTGATTGCCTTTGACCCTGATAGTTCTCGATTAACAACAGTTTATCTATCAGCCTAAAACTTCTTTTCAGCATCTCCAGCTATAGCAGGTCGACAGAAGCAAAGGTTTTGAAAGTTGCCTCTGTGCATGTACGATGGAAATATGGCACCCTCACTGTGACAACAAGACTGCATCCAGCCTGTAACAAATCATCATTTTACATTACAGATTGTGTACAGATTACAAAAACATTATACAATGTGTTTGTTAGTGACCTTTCGAGGTGTTGGTGGGTGTATTTTTCAATTTCTACTTAACAGGCAGACTCCAGATTGGCATACATATGTTTTGTCTCATTTGCAAATGAAGCAAATAAGAATCATGTCTTAACCCCCTTTGGTATTTAGCACATTTCCCAAAATACTGAACTACTCTTACTTGCAATCTTTACTTTTTCTGCGGCTGAAAAAATGTAAAACACCAATGCATGGTTGCCAGAAGATTTACTCCAGAACATAAATTTTAGAAAAAGTTTCAGTGCAGTTATTAACAGCAGTGCCCCAGTAGCACAGTATATCCCACAAGTCAAACACACAATCTGTCCTGAAACTGTCTTCTAATCTCACCCTGTGGCCTACTGACGGCTAAAATCACTCCCTCTGTGCTGCTGCAGTACAGCACAGAGCAATACAGTCAACCAATCAGATTACAGCATCTAATCCTCAGCCCCTTCGGTCTCATTACATGCTGTGGCTCCAGCGAAATACCATCTCACACTGAAGTGACACAACCCCAGTGCTCTATCAGAGGGGTCGACAGAGAACATTTCACAATTCTGTAGATTGAAAGAGAAATAGACACGCTTATAAACCGTAGTTTGGGTGTGTTACTACAGATACTGTGATCTAGTTAGTATCTGTTGTCCAATTTGAGTAAAAGATCCACAAGGGTAACGTGATAGACTACTACAACCTGCAGGGTGAAGCTCAGAGCATAACTGTCCTCCAAAATGAGTAAAACTCTTCACAGCAAAGGGACAAACATGGTAAAGTTTGTTAATCAGCCTGCTGCAATCCTTTATTTTATTCCTCTGTTCAGTTTTGACAAGCAGTACCTTTTTACTGTGATTAGAATGTAATCCATGCATACATTTTCAAACGTAAAAACAATGATTATGTGATGTTGCCCAACTAACACGGAAGGGTCCTCCTATGCACATGCTGCAGAATACTATAGATACAAGGTTTTACTTTGGGGTTGTGGATTTGGTGTGTGTGCTAACCTTTTCTATTGTCTTGACTCATGCAGCACAGAAGATAAAACAAACAAGCTGCAGAGAAAGTTTCAGAGTGCGCTGCAGACTGAAGGAGTCACAGAGTGAAACTGAGAAAGAGTAGGACAGAGGACGAATGTGACCTCCGTCCACAGTAGTTCAAAGTATCTGCTCTGTATGTAAGGGTAATGTGCACCAACACAACCAGCAGCACACAGTATCTCACTGCAGCGGTGAATAATAGATGAAGGGAAACCTAGAAGGAGGGAAATCTCAGTTAGCTTTATATCTAGCCATTCCCTTCATATGCTCACTGCAGGGTGCCTCTTTTTACGCTGTTTTGTTGCCTGTCCGTCATTTATTACATGAAGTCCCGCTGCAGTATTTGGACTATTAATTTTCAAAATCAATGGGTCTTTGATAATTGGACAAATAAGGTTCAGTAAAGTGTAGTGTGATTTGCTGTCACTTTATGGAATTTGATTCCCCCGTGCACACCACCAAAACTGTACAGTGAGTATGGTGTCAGTCCGCATGACTTTGCAATAAGTCCGAGTGAACAAGAAATGGATCCAAACTGGCTACATGATAAATTTTTTCATTTTTTGTCACATTTTGTTTTATCATGTTCTAGATATGCGTATGACAGGCTATGATGCTGACTTTATATGCATCCTTACCTTGTGAGTATAGAAGGATCTGCATCTCCAGCAGGGTGCAGGTGAACACCTGGACCAGGTTCTCCACGCCCAGTAGACTGAAGGCCTCTGCGAGGGGGAAGTCAGCCAGCGGCAGCTCCCCCAGCCCAGGCCTCTGGCACACAATGGGCTCGTACACACCATGGAACTTGAGCGAGCGTCCCGGAGCAGGCAGCGGTACCTCGTACAGGATGTTGTGAATGTAGCTCTCCAGTGGCAGCGGGGGGGCGGTGGCTGCAGTAACAGCCCTGTGCAGCTGCGACAAGAAGCGACGGCAGGCAAGCATGAAGGGCATGGGTGTGATCAGACATAAGGCCTTGGACACATAGAGGGTGTCCCGCGAAGAGTCGTATACACCTGCCCTGCGAGACGAAGATGAGGAGGATGAGGATGTCGGGGAGTCGGTCTCGTCTAAACTGCTGGCCAGAGAGTCCATGCTGGAGGAGGAAGAGGAGGAGGCAGAGGAGGAGGAGGAAGAAGGGGGGTTGGTGGAGGCATTGTGCATCTGGTAGAGGGTCTGCATGGCAGAGCAGATCTGTGGGCTGGTCACCTCCTCGTAGAAGGTGTGGACGAAGCCGTAGGTCCGAGAGCCGTCCTCCTTTGTGATGATGAAGGAGTGGAACTGTGGATCACGCTGGTCAGCCTGCGTCCTGAACGAGAGCCCTTTAGGCATACATAGCTGCAGGGAAAAGGGAGGGAACAGGAGTCAATCACCACATTGGAGCAGACTACTGTCAATTCTTGTTCAAACCACTACCAAATGCTGATTTTGTCTTTAAAATGATTGAGAGGGCATACGTTTTATACGTTAGCTTTTCTTCAGTGTCAACAGGTCAGATCTGTAGGGCGGGTAGCGGCATGTACGACTATCTACCACACTGTCTGTTCTGATACTATCACTGGTGACGCCAAGTTGGAAATCTTCAAATTCCACACAGTGTACTACAAAATTGTAATTTTAAAGATATTTAGTGTTTCAAAACTGAGAGAAATTCCAAAGAGATAAACCTTCTCTAATACATCTTAACTGGCTTATTTTGTATGCCAACATGTATTAGAGGAAAATAATTCTAAAATAATGTAATATAATGCAAGAAATATATTGATTTAAGAGTGAAGCAACAGACCACATGCTCCACCTAAAAGTACTGAATGGACTTGAGGGCATTTCACAGACAGCAGGATACTAGTATGGGACACATGTATTTTCATGATGATTGAGATGGATTTTCCAATAACCAAACAGATAAAGAATGCTTCATCCTTCATTCTTGACATGAAAACAGCAGTTGCAACAATCCCATTTCATTTAATAGCTGTTCTGGCGCTTTTGACTACATTATATCAGATAAGATTCTTCATCTTATAGCGTACAGAGCAAAGGATTAGTTTGTATTCTTGGAAGTCAAGAAGTCAAATGGGCTCTCACTGGGTGTTGGACTCATAATGGCTTGTGACTGAGTTGCTGCCCAAGTATCTGGGTCCCCCGCTCACACTGGGACCTGGATCCCAATGAGCAGCAGAAAATGGATGGATAACAGCGATGGAAGCTGCAGTTTTGGTATTTGTAAAGACAAACAGTGGTGCTTTGAACTAAATGTTAACACAGAGTGTAAGCATTTGCATTGCTAAACGCACTATGCACTAAACACAACTGAGGCACAGTTTTGCATTAGTGTTGGATATACACTTTGAAAAATAGATGAAAAGAGGATCGTCCTGTGGGAAGCACCAATGTCTGTACCCAAATTCACTGCAATCCTTCCAAAAATTTATGTCATAATAATAATAATAATAATAATAATAATAATAATAATAATCAGCCTCCCGGTGGCGCTACAGGAAAAGTCAGAGGATCACCAAGTCAGGGGGATTCATCCTCTGGGAACATGAAAGTCTGTACAAAATGCTGGTGAGTGATGCTTTCACATTCAGAGTCAGTCAGTTTTCCATTGTGGAAATGTTGTACCTGTACCTGCTTCCAGCGAGCTGAGGGATACTAAAATGTGACGTGAAAACACGACAGACTGCTGATTGGTCAGAGAGAATATTCACTATTCACTGCATCATCATTGCACCAGACAGAGGCCAGCAACAGGAAGTTTTATATTTTACAGTTTTCATATGGAATTTCATCACTAAATCCACTTCTGAGAAGTTTTGAGGTGAGAAATCAGCTCTGTAGATTTCCAATATTGACAGTTTTAGAGAAGTGATGGTGGAACAAAAATGTGCTTGAATATTTTCAATACTCAATTACAGTTGAGGAGCTCAGCGAGTGGCTGCGGGGGAAGCCTGCTGTGACCCGCGGGAGGAGCGTGTGAGGCCGGCCAGCCGCCCGCTCACAGAGCCCTCTGCTCCCGCCGTCACACAGACCGCTGCAGCAACAACGGCAGAGGAAAACACAGCTGGAAGGTTTTCATACCGCTTATCTGTCTTTACATTCTGAGGAATATTGAAACGTTTTAACTTAAAAAAGAGAAAGCTGTGTGGATCGCTGGTGTGTGTGTCGCATTGAACATTATGTTAGTTGTGTTTGACGTCGCTATGACGACCAGCTACATTAAGGGTTACTATCTCTGGGTCCTATCTCCAATGGAAAACGGAGCAGGGCCAAACCGAGTCGAGTAGAGTCAAGGCGAGTTGAGCTGGTACTGGTAATGGAAAAGCGCAAATTTCAAGTTAGTGCTCACTGCTCTGCAAACACACATACACATATGTATGAGCTTTAGAGTCTGCATACATGAACTAACTTCCACTTTCATGCATTTACATTTTGTCTTTACAGAGACACACACACACAGGCTTGGTGACCTAATTTGACTATGCATGAGTCATGTGTCCCACTGATCAGTTCTGACAGATCATCTCTCCTCCACACTCAGCCTGTGTCTGACATTAGTCATCACCACGACCGCATTCTTTATTTCATGAGTTTCACCTCTCAGCTCTCAGTGAGAAACATGCTCTAAGTCCCTCATTCAGCCTTTTCCCTGTTTGTTGTTGATTTTGATGGCGGCCGCAGGAAGTGTGATTACACTCCCCCATCACTTGCCTCCCAGCAGGAGGAGGAGGAAGAGCAGGGATGAAAATCTTCCAGAGAGGAGAGGCTGATGCAGAGCAAAAAGAGGGGCGGTGGAAGTCACAGAAAGAGAGAGAGAAATGATGCTGCTTCTACAGAATCTCTCTCAGCTGTCACCCTCGACAGCTCGCAATCATCCGGGTGTTGGGTTTCAGACGCCACACTGCTACATAATGGCCTGTTTCCATGCCGACGTAAGGCGATAACCGGGGCTGAATTATTCAGCAGTGCTGACGCCAGGGCAGGTGGAACAATAGGTGACCTTCCATCACAACACACACACACACAGACACAGACACACACACACACACACACACACACACACAGACACACACACACTCACCTTTCTGAAAACCTCTCAGTGTCTTTTTTTTAGTGAAATAGAAGGATTTCAGGGGATCACACTCTTTATAATATTATTTACAGAGACCCAACAATTCCCACCATGAGCAAACACGGGCCACAGCAGCAAGGAAAACTCCCTTCTATTCAGGTTGAAACCTCGAGCAGAAACGAGAAACAGGGAGCTCAATTCCAGCAATGTCTCTCTTTTTGAGGTCACATAATCCACAGCCCACTACATACTTACTGAACAATATATTACCTCTCGGGGTGTAACACAACACTGTTATCTATAGCTTAATATTTCTTCTTGTGTTGAGAGTCCTGCAGTATGTGAACGATGTCTGTGAGATCTGATGACTCTGACAAGAAGAGGTGCCACTTTTCCAAACACCTGCCTTTTAATCAACTTTTCATCCAACTTCTCGACATTAAACCTCTAAATTCAGACAACAAAATAGGAAGGTGTTATTGCAGCCCTCCATGCAAAGCTGTCTTGGTAATTCCACAGAGATGGGAGGGGTTTTATATATCACTCGGTTACCCAGGATCCCTTGAGAATGCACCGTGTGTCTTAATGCAGGGCCTGCCCTATATCCTCAAAATGTGTGGTTTCATCCTTAGAAGGAAGCCAAGCCCTAAACTGCTAGTTTAAATAATCCACAGGCCGTTTCCTCTGTGAATGATCCCACTGGTCTCTTCCTGCCTGCTGGGGGTATTACTGGACTCACAGTTCTGTTAATCCTCACTCTTCTACTCATTTTCCCCAATATAATGGTACAATTCACATACCATGTTGACAGCATCCTGGTCGAAGGGGTTCCACTCCACGTTCTCAGGGTAGCGTGCTAGGACTTTGGACTTGAACGTCCTCTTCAGGGGGCTTTGCTCAAAGTTTTCACCTAGTCAGACAAAGAAAACATAGGGAACACAAAAGGTCAGAATCATGACTACCAGTTGGTCATGCCAAGTCTAACATCTCCAGTATAAACTCCATTATATTTTTATGTGAAGCTTTAACCCTTTCATGCATGACATCCACAACAATGGACAGATATTTGGAAGCCATTTTGAACAATTTAAGTTATAGTACCATGTTCCAACCACCACGTACGTACCCCCAAAGTGTTGTCTTCAATTCCATTTGATTATTATCTTTTACATCTGTCATTTTGATATACTGCATCATAAATTCAAAACAGGGGAGGGAAGTGTCAATGCACCAAATACCTCAGCAACAACTGTAACATCCTTTTATTCTCGGAAAAATTTTTTTCAACTAAATAGGATGTTAGAAATACTTTTATCCAGATTTTAATGATATATTTCTTGAAAATATATCCGTTTTAGTAAATGTTTAAAAAACATATTGTTTTTTGGACCTATATTGAGATCCATTTAATCACTTTTGATGCCGTTGATGTGGACATATTTCAAAATTAAATACATTGGGAAATAAAGTTTATAGGCATATTTTTTACTTGTTTAAAAGTAAAAACAAATATTAAAAGGGGTTATATGTAATTTTTGAAAGATTGCAACCTGGTGTGTGCTCGTACGTGTGCTCGCTTGAACTCTTAAGCGAGCATAGTCTGAAACATACAGAGATCCCATAATCAATGCAGAAACACTGGCATGCTGGCTGCGGCTTTTCTCCAGACATGTTCAGACTTTGTTACTTCAAATATTGGCACAATCCTCCTAGAAAAAAGGCAGTGTGACAGCGACTACAGACAGGGAGACAACTTCACACAACATGCTGGTAAACCCCCATTCCAATGTTACAGTAATATTTTTATCAGCTTGAGGTTGAACTAATCCATGCTCGTTACATGATAACGTTACATTTACTGCATTTAGCCGACGTGCTACATCAGCGTTACCTCGCCTTCTGCTTTTATATGTTATTATCTTTCACTGGAGGCTAAGTACTGTGAGCACAGTTAAATGTACTGGATGATAACAAAACAGTTAGTGAGCTGAATATTTTTAATGAGATTGTTGCTTACTTTAACAGTTAGAGTAATCGTAAGTAACATTAATGTAGTGGACGGTTCTCATACTGTGATGTTGTCCTGCACCGTTATTTTGCATTATTATGTGGTAACATAAGTTAACAGTAACAGGTTACTGTAATATTAATTTTTCCCAGTAACTAGTGTGTAACGGATTACTATTTAGCCAAAAAGCTAATGGAAGAATGGAGAATGAGGGAGAGAGGCGTTCCTTCCACAGCTGGAAGTACCTCCATTATTGTGTCACAGTCTAAGATGCAAAGAACATTGTCGTCCGTTATAAACGATGTGCGAACAATTCTACATTTAATTTATTGAAGCATCTGCTAAAGTAGCACTACAACGTGAACCTCAGAAAGAAACTGCGGCTGTTACTGCCAGTGATGCATGGTCTCATGGGGAGAGAGTGTCGTTAAGGAAGGTTTAATATTTTGTAAAAACACCGAATACTGCTCTTATAAATACATGTACCGAAAACAGTAGTTCAAAAGTCGGGATTTACTTGCTTAATTTTTTATTTCAGCTGGTGGTGCTAAGAAACGTTATGTTTTGTAAAAAGCAAATGCCTTGCTGCTGTTATGATTAGGATTTTAGTTAAAAAGTTGGGAGAGGCTTCTTTGTTTGTGGAGGGGTAGAGAAAATAAAATAGTAATGTAACTACTTACTTTTATCACCCAGTAATATGTAAAGTAATACTGTAACTTTTTTAAGGAGTAATAAGTCACTAGTAACTTATTACAATTTCTGAGTAACTTGCCTAACACTGGACCTAACTTGCACCGGAAAATTGCACCTTTCTTACGTTCACCGTTGTCACTGACATCATCTGATTCTCTTTGGCCTGACAGGCTTCACATAAACCTTTAATGTTGTTTTGTATTCTAATGTGGAGTTTATGTTGGAGTTTGTGCTGTGCTGGGTGCCGGTTGTTGGCAAACTATTCCGGGTTAACAGTTTCTATCACAGGTGGGAAATCAGGTTAAATCAGGGAAGCATCAAAGCATGAAGCTGTGTAGAGTCAGGAACACTGGCACAGTGGTTTGTACAGGGACTGAAAAAGCAGCACTGGGAGAATGACCTCATGTCCAATATATGACACTCTGGATGGGGCTTTTCACTGACAGCCACGCTGACTGCATGCATGAGATTCCTCTGTGTCAGCAGCTGGGCTGCTCTACGTTTCCCCCATCTCAACACACATCTCACACACACACACACACACATACTTCAGGGGATCAGTGAAGGTCAAATTATTCTCTGTATAATAGCTGCAATGGACCATGAGGCCATATCCGCACATACAGACAAACATGTAGTATGAAAAGAACCTCATGATTGTCCGTGTCCATTTCCACGTTGTAAACAACAATGGTGTCACAGAGCATGTCAGACAAGGCAAGAGAAAAAAAAATCTGTCTTGCTAGTCCTTTTGTTGAGAAATTATGAGGTGTCCCAGATTCCACTATGACACACTACATGGGATAAAATGAAACTGTTATGACTGAAGCAAATTTTTGCTCCCAAAGCTCCACATCAACACCAACTATTTTGACTGGCCCAGTTGGCCTATCATTTTTTAACAAGGCTGAGTGTCCAGCACTGCTAGCAGCAATGTGAGGCTGTATCTGGACACGTTGACGCTTTGAGCTACATGCTAACATTAGCATGCCAACATGCTCACAATGACAATGCTAATTTGCCAAAGTATCCGACAAATATTCATTATTTACACTGAACAAAATTATAAATGCAACACTTTTGTTCATTCAAAGGAGGACCTGCATGTCTACCAAAATTCATGCCACTGCATTGTTAAATGTGTTCCACTGAAACCGAGAATGTCAACCTCATGGTGGCGCTAGAGGAAAAGAGAGAGGATCACAAAAGTCATTAGGATTCATCATCTGGGAACCTGAACCTGACACTATGATCGGCTGATGCTGCCCTAGGTGAGCGCCTCATGTGTGTGTGTGTGTGTGTGTGTGTGTGTGTGTGTGTGTGTGTGTGTGAGTGAGAGAATGAGTGAGTGAGTGATTGAGTGAGAGACAGACAGTTGTCTCAGCTGCATATCAGAGACAAACTGTGTATGCAGGACAGCCATGCTGGGAGTCACATGGCCAGCAGCTGCTCGGGACACAACAGCCGTCCACAGCTGGTTCTCTACTTTCTCACTACATCCATTTCATCCAGCAAACTGACTCCAACACAGCAGGCAGCTGCTTTCTGTACATGCACCACTGAACAACAGTCACACTATTGCTCTGTGAGAAATTGGGCTGTTGGGCTTATTCCTAATCTTTCTAAACGCAGCATCAGCAAAATGCTTTATATGTAAAATGGAAACACTCAGGGAGAAAATGTTTAGAAAATTCAAATTGTGTTTCCCTCTGCTGTATGGTGACAGGAAGAATGCATACAGAGGAGGCCAGGGAGGAGCACAAAAGCACAAATGTTAAGGGAAACGTAAGTATCAAGGCAGCAGGAACAGGAAAGGGAAGAGCAACAAAAGGTTAAGAAATGAAAGTTTCAGTATTTTTCATAAACATTTATATCAGATCTGTGGGAAGTTTTTCTTCTAAGTCATTTCTTCGGTTGATTTTACAAGCTTGAAATTTTCCTGAAAGGAGCAATGTACTTTGGTACTAATTATAGGGACAACAGAAAATAACCTCAAGTATACTGTTTAGTAATTAATTATTTCTTATTCCTTTTTTTATTCCTTTTGAAACTTTATGTCCCATATTGTATGCTGAATTGCCTTCTTGCTTTTTTACTAATTTCACATTTTTGCTTGTTCCATATGCTTTGCACCAAAAAAAGGACTCTTCACCACTGCCTCCATTTACCCTATAATTAGTACTAAATTACGTAGTTCATGCCGTGACTGTCTTAGGAGACAGAACCTCTGGTCCAGCTGATTTGTGTTGTAGTTATTCTCTATTTATTCTCTTTTGTTAAATAAATTCTTCAAAGACAACGGTTTGTTGTAACTCAATTATTTGCGCAACCTCTCACCAGGAATATAATTTCCACGACATTGTAGATGTGTTATCAATATGTTTTGTTGTTTTTATGTTTGCATGACATGACCATCATGCTTTTGCTCCTAGTGTTATAGTCCATGCGGGACATCGTAGATCTACAGTAGAAGGAAGGATATCCGCTGTTCATCACCTCTGCCTGAGTAGGCGCAGTATTATCTCTCCCCTGGTGTGTTTAACAGGAAACACGGACTTTCAATTCTTTCAAGACAGGTCTTTAAGGGTTAGTTCACTCAAACCACAAAAACATACAACATCCTGTCAGCAGATTTCATAGAGACTATTTCTTCAGTAGAAGGTCGTTAGGTCGTAAGTTACTGGTTGATGGTATATTCTGTTGACTTTCCACAGTAGTAAGGATGCTGTTGGTTTTTTAAAATCATTTTTCATTGCTGTGAATGCAACAAACAAAAGTCCATTCACCAGCATTGTATCGGGGTAAGAGCAGAAATCTTAGAGACTGTATACCTGTAAAAACAACAATGGCATAGGGCATAGTGACTTTGAGTCCTGGCTGAGGTGGTCTTCAAAGATAAAACTAATGGCTGCATGACTCACACACAAGAGGTTTTTTACAGTCAACTATAGACTAGTGATCCACGAGCTGAAAGCTATTCTGAATCAATAACTTCATTTATTTCCACTGGGAAAATGTAAAACATCATAAAAAGGCTTTCTTAAGGAGCATCCCTGACAGGGTGCTGATACTGGGGTCAAATCTGCTCTGTAGTCAGTGTAATCTGTGGGCTATTAAACCTCACCACTAACACAAACACCATTCAATTTTCTTTGGATGACCAGATCTCCAACAGTCATGGTACAAGGTGGAGACAAATCTACACTGATTTCAGATAAGTGAATGGGCTCTGTAACTGGGAGCGCTGGTGTACTGACTGTAGACAATTTCCTTCCTTTCCTCATTTACCTGATGTCTTGATAAGTTCAGCATACTTTCTACAGTATTGATTCTACCGTTAGGATATTTTAATAACAGAACTAATGTTTGTCACTGACTAAATAATTCCTATCTTTCTACTTTGGAGTTTTTTCAGAGTAAGCTCCTGCCATTGAAACACTTTCTACACAGATGTTTCACATTAAATGTCTGGCTGCAACTAACATTTTTTATTTTTACTTTTGATGAATATGCCGATTCTTTTCTCGATTAATCAATTAATTGTTTATAGTTATCATCTATAAAATGTCAGTAAATAGCAGAAATGCTTATTATCATTTCCCAGAGCCCAAAGTGAAATCTGGAAGGACCTATTTGTCCAAGACCAAAAGACATTCAGTTCACTATCATGTAATACAAAGGAAAGCTTCCAATCCTCACAAGCTGAAACCAGCAAATGTTTTTCCTAAATTATTATCAACACATTCTGTTAGTCAAAGAAATAAAAGTAGCCAAATACTAATCAGAAATGACTATTGCGAATTTAACATGAGGCATTATATTCCAGGTGATTCCATGTTGTTTACCGTGCCTTGTTTTAGCAGTCAGCCTTCATTTGTTCATCCAGCAGACTCTTTCATTATCTGAATGAGAACTTGCAGTAAGAATTATAGTAAGGCTGCAAAATAAATTTTTGCTATGATGGCGCTGGAATTAAACTAACATGAAATGAACAGAAAACTAAATAAAGTGGAGGAGGCAGGAAAACTAATCTGGAGAGGAACAAAAGAAATACACAAGTATCACATGCAGACATGAGTGAAGGTGAGGGGGTGGGGTGTTGTTCACGGTGATGAAGGAGCCCTTCACTCAGTGCATCAGTGTGGCTCACGCACATCTGATTTTGTTGAAGCGTGTACAAATAGCAGCACAATGGCCTCAAGTTGTTGTCAACTCATTTCAGAGGACTTGCATGCATACACAGGTCTCTCTCTCTCTCTCTCTCTCTCCTACACACACACACACACACACACACACACACACACACACACAAACAAACATAATCATTTCACTACTTGGCTGTGTGGCCCAAGGGGCCCAGGGCTTTGTGTCCTCTCAAAGCAGGCATAAGGAGGAATGACTGAAACCCAGAGGCCCTCAACCATGACAAACAGAATGTGACAAGGAAAGGATGAAGAATGGAAGACAAGAAAACGGGAGAAGAGAAGAAGCTTGTTTTGTTTAAGACCTCCATCCTCTACTTTTATTAACTCCCAAAACTCCAGGCTGCATGCAGGAACAGACGTAGAAAACAAAGTGATATCCTTATCAGCTTCAAAAGTGTCCCAAAGCTAATCAGTTCACCGTGATATAAAAAGAAGAAAAACAGAAAATCTTCACATTTCAGAAAATTACTATTTATCAATTATCAAACTTATCTATTAATCCACTATTTGTAGGAGCTCTAGTTGCATTATAAATAAAGTGAAGTTAAAGTTGTGGAAGGCTTTTCATGTCTAGATGGTGCTAAATTATGCTTTTCCCTATTTATATAATAAACGTTCCTGGTGGCAGATTTGATGTAGCGAATGAACATTTATGCCATAAATGACTTGCCCACTGGCAAAACCTCTTGGCCGTTGTCTGGTTAACGTTCTGTTAGGAGGCCGGTGTCTGAAGTGTCTGTCTTTAGGAAAAGACTAATCAAGTAGGGAGTCTTATTTTGTGAAACGATCTTGGTGATCATATTAAAATTGGCATGGCAATTTCAGTAATAGGAATCTCCCAATACAATCTTCATTCATGTAATGTCAATAATAACTGATTCTTTATGATCTGGTGGGTTGGACATCGCTGACCACCCGCAGAAAACAGCACTGGTATATTTTTATATATAAAGTGCAAGGTAAACTTCCAGCTTACCTCTGTACCCTTCTCTGTCTCAATTCTGCTAGATAAAAGCTACGCTCCTCCAAGTGGTTGCTTTTTAATGTACCCAGGTTTTTGACAGCTCTGGGGAAAACTGCATTTTCATACTATGCACCCTGGGCATGCAATAAAAAGATCTTAAACTAGAAGAGCATCATAAAGAATGTGGTAAAGGAGACATGTGATTGTTTTTCTTGAGAGGCCATTGTGTTTGAATAGATGTGTTTTTTGTGTTGTTTTTTTGGTTGTTTGTTTTTGTGACTTTTGTCATGATTGTACGAAGCATTTTAATATGTTGCTGCTACCTTGGCCAGGTCTCTCTTGTAAAAGAGATATTTTATCTCATTGAGACTTCCTGGTAAAATAAAGGTAAAATAAGGACCACCTTATTTGGAGCAAGTACCTTATAAAGAGTAAAGTGTGCAAACACAAGTACAGATTCTATCTTTTATTTGCGTCAGATTTGTCAGACACATATTGAACATTTTATATTTCATGCTCATTTTCAGACTTCAGCTACGGGTTCTGAACATTAATCAGGCTGCCACTAAAATCTCTAGTGTTTCTACATTTTCAGACAACAAAAGGATTAGAGGTCTCAACTTATAAAAAAAAAAACTTCATATAGAAATGAAGTCATAGAAGCTGAAAGCTAATAGAATATGGATTCTATAAGGGATTTGAAAGGACTTGATAAGCTGACTCAATACTGGATTTAGATTGATCAAATCCCAGCAGTTTTCATTTAACTAATTTGATGCAACCTTTCAGTTAACTGCAGGGGTGATTATGAGCACATAGTATATTATTAAACAGCATGAGTTGTAGAAGTTGGGGCTGCCTACTGAGAAGGGTCACACACAGAAACACAGAAATAGTTAGAAGATTTAAGTGTAAAAGACATGTGATAAACCATTCTGTGTCTGAGGTGATTACGAGAAAATCCCATTTATTTTCCTGAAGTCACAATGGACCTGTAGATGTATACTGTGGCAAGGCTGCCATCACATAGGTCACATAGCTTACGAGGTGTAAGGGACAGTGTGAGGTGTAGCGCTCTGTTATGCAGGAAGGGAACGGTTGATGGTGTTTTACCTGTGGCCGCAGTATCAGGATCCCTGCCTTGGCGGTCTGCTTCTAGCCACTGGTACAAAGCTAGGGATGAGCCACGCATGCAGAAAAACATGGAGCAAAAAACAAAGACAAAGCGCAATGTCAAAACAAATGCACACAAAAAGCAAATTAATAAATGCATGAGAATGAGTAGAGAAGGAACATGACACTTACACTATCAGTAACACAACATGGCATGGCATTAAAGACATAACACACAGGCTTGAAAAAGAGTATTAGCATTCCAAACAAGCACTTTTTACTTTTCTGTAATTTGTAGAGGGCAAATGGCCTCATAAGAAGGCAAAAGCAAATGTCACAAAAATTCAGACACTTGAAGTATGTTAGATACAAATTGTGGATCATTGTCTGTGAAATGTGACATTCCCTTCTGTCTCCTCTTTTTACTTTAATGTTTGGTCTTTCAGGAAGTAAAAAGTGCCATTATGGAGGTGCCAGGCTCAGTGAAAATGTTTGCTGCATGACAACGTCTGCCTTGAATGATGGAGCTGTGAGTGAAGTATAGGAGCATGTGACTTAGTGTTAGTGAGCAGCAACCTCTTCAGAGTCAAACCAAGCAGCAGCATTTTCACAGCAACAAACATTTACGGGAGCAGAAAACCACTGATGTCAAAATTAGGTGTGCAACAAACTGTATGAATGAGGAGGGCATTTTTACTTGCTTGTGTATCTTGGTTTAACATCTTTAACCCCACTGGCCCAAAGTCAGTGGAAACACTTTGTTCAGAACGAAAGAACTTTATTTTGTATTCTTGTGGCGAACTCAAGGTTTTCAAAGACACCGAATGTCAGGCAGAATTTGCGATAATACGTCTAAAATGATGCACGAAACATCTAAAATATTTATTTGATAGAATAGGCCAGCCATAAAAAAAACAAGTCTTAAATTTCAATATTTGAGCAGTGCTTGAACATGGATTAAAGGGGTCATCCAGTGATTTAGCATCACGCTTCCTTATTTATTAAGTTGGGGGACTAACAAGAAACAGAAAAAACAACAATGGTCAAAATTGGACCAGCAGATGCACGGACATCATCACTTTTAGTCCCTAGTATGGCTTTCTATTATAAATGTGTAGTCTCGTAGGATTTCAATGTGTCTAAAGATGCAAACTTCTGCAAATGAATGTGTTCCATATGTGCGGTCATGTCCACTGTATGACTGAGGAAATCAAAAGCTGTGTCAGACAGCTACTTCAGGCTCTGCAGGGTTAACACACTCTTTTTGAAGCAGGGTTCAGCACTATGCCTGCCATGTTTCAATACAAAATGTCTCTAACACACACACACACACGTTTAGGTTATAAGATCATTACAGTGACACAAATATAATTTTGTGCAGTTGATATATTATTTTTTTATCTCAATTTCTTAGTGAGTTTGCATGTAAGTATGTGCATGTTAACTAACACAGAGAAAAATAGGAAATACGAGAGAGAGATGGAAATACATCAAATATAGAACACTCGTGGTTAAAAGGTGATTATTGTCATTATCAAGTCCAAGATGTTTAGTTTTATATCCTCCTCAGTCTCTGCACATTCTACATTATATATATATATATATATATATATATATATATATCTACATTTTCCCCAATTAGTAATAAAAAAATTTTCTTTCTCTTGAAGCTGGTAGGTCAGTTTTCCGTCACATACATTTCTCTTTTCCTAATCTTTGTTCTATGTTGGGGTATTCAGTCTTATACCATATGGCAGTGCGGCCTCAGTGGGGTTCAAACCCCAGTCGTCCCGGCTCTTTCTGTTTGGAGATGGCATGTTCTACACGCGTCTGTGTGGGTTTCCTCCGGGTGCACCAGTTTCCCCCACTATCAAAAACATCTTCTTAGCTCTAGTTTAGATTAGTATCTTGGCTTAGTATTATATTTCACATGCTCATTTACATTTCCAAGGTACAGGCATTGCAATCCTTTGGCATTTCATATCCTTTTCCCAAAATGGGCATAATTTATGGTTTGCATCTGCATCTACAGCTTTGGTGATCATCAGGACCCACGTGAGGAAATCAAATTCAGTTTACGCAGCACTTTAATGGTTCTGATCTGTATCGTAAAGAGCTCACAAAGAAATAACTTATTATAATCATGATTAGTAATTGTAGGCCGCAGATCGACCACATAGCCTACTATGAATAATAATGTAAAAACAGGACATGTACAGTAATAATTTGGGGCTTATAAACGGAGTACTACTGGCCCTTCTTTTTTTATTTATTTTTTTAAAGCTTTTGACCTATTAATGAGGGAAAATACCCTTGGTGACAAATATACATTATCAAATGATTTTCATAAACATAGCCTATACATGGCTTACAGATCGCTACAGATCGCTAAACACATTTGGCGGTCAGTAGATGGATTTATGAGTGGTTTCGCTTTGGAAATAATGCTCAGATCACATCTCTGCTATCATCAAAATCCTGTTTTTTGTTTTGTTTGCTTTCACATCCCAATCACCATTACATCAAGCAGTCCATATAGGGGTTTTGTTTTTCATTAGTCCATGCCTCTCTTTCAGACCCTGAAAGCTCATTTTGTTTCTAGTCTTGATTAGCGTGCTCGCTGCTGTCATCCCCTTTCTTTCCTAATTTCTGAAAGTCTGGACACGGCAAAATTGCGATTTTTGAGTTGAAAATCCTAGAGTCCTCATGACAGTGTCCATGTTTATCGTCTAGGACTGATTTTCTTTAAGTTTTTCATCCCAACTACATCTTGAATGTTGGATTGTTCTTAAATGCACCACAGAGCAGCATTTTGAAAATGGTCCATGTTTGAATCTGCAGTAGAGTCCTGCACCAGGTTGGGTACCCGAGTGTGCAAGGTGGATATGAGTTTGTTAAAATGGCCCTGACCCAGTAGCATATGACACATCACTTAAAGCGTAGAGTTGATTAACCTGTTGACATGGGTAGACTCAATCAGTTTGATCATTCTTCTTTCCTCTCGTGTGCTGACATCAGGCTGTGGCGCCTGGGACTAAACTGAAAGACTCAGTAGTCATTCAGTGAAATGAGGCTTCACTTGGTTCAGTCAGAAGTGAGGGAAACTGTTCAGCTGCCGTTTGAGAGGAAACCACACACACTGCTGCTGGCATTATCTGCTTCTAACATCACTGCTCGCTCGTATCTGTCCATTCTCATACTTACAGACACACTGTAAAAATGCATTCTGGATCATGTAACAAAGCTCCGAATGAGGTCTTGAACAAACGCGCACACACACACACACACACACACACACACACACACGCACACACACACACTCACATAGATCCTTTCATGCAAAGATTTCCCACAAGACCAATGAAGCAGTCCTGAGTGATTGTAACCATCAGAATTGGCATGCGATCAATGAGTAAGCTGATTACGGATTGGTCTGCATGTACTACTGCTTAAAGCACAACACACTTAAACTGATGGATTCATTATTGATACTAACATGTAAAAGACACTGATGTTCTCTGATATTCTTACAACTCAGTCCTGTAATCCAGTTTACTGTGTGCTAATGGATGAAATCTAATTTCAAAAATAAAGTATATTAAATCTCACGTGCAGCGTCAAATCAATAATCAATTGGATTGGGCATCGAGAACAGGTTCCAACTTGGAACGGTTTCCAACGGAATCATTGGTAAAATTTGGTTTAGAATTCGATCACTGGTTGCAAATGTACTACGCGCAAGTAATGGTTTCCGTGGCAGCCACTGTAAAACCAGGCGCTTGATCTGTTGCAGCCATGAAGCACAGTAAGCTGCGCTCAAAAGTGTGGCTTTATGTTACTTTGAGAAAGCCCCAGTCAGCACAGTGCAACACCTGTGAGATGCTTATTTCTTGCACAGGAGGATGCACTAAGAATATGAGTAAACAGCTTCGCCTGCATGGTCTACAAATCAACAAGGAGTGTACTGTGTTCGATGTGCTGTGCAACCCTGAGCTGAACTAGTACCTCGTCGCAATCAGGTAATTGAAACTGTAGTGAATCAAGTTGCTTGCTCCAAACATTAATTGGTGATTTTAACTTGCCTGTAGATGTGAATGTGAGTGAGAGTGGTTGTTTGTCTCTATGTGTCGGCCCCGTGATGAACTGGTGACCCCACCTCTCGCCCAGTGTCAGCTTGGATAGGCTCCAGCCCCCCGCCTCTAAGGATGAGTGTTTTACTTTTTTTACTAACATTCATGTCACAGATGTATGGTGATAAGCTAATGTTAGCCGTTTCAATATGGCACAATGTCATCACTCACAGCCAGTTAACATAGCGGCTGTTTTGTTTTAAATAGTTTGTCAAAATGCAAATGATCTTTGTGACTACATTATTATCAACACTACAACTTTTTGACAGTTTTTCAAGTTCCATCCATCCATCCATCGTCAACCGCTTACCCTGCGTACAGGGTCGTGGGGGGTGGAGCCAATCCCAGCTGACATCGGCCGAAAGGCGGGGTACACCATGGACAGGTCGCCAGTCCATCGCTTTACGAGTTAAATTACAAAAAGAGGAAGTTCTTATAAAATATGTTTTGTTTTAAATTAATCTCACCAACATTTTATACTAGTGCAGCTGAAACAATTCACAGAAAATAAATTTTGATAATTTGATGGTTCAGCCTCTGCTTTTCCTCTGAATGATTGTAATAACTGTAATGTTTGTTAGTAATGTTGAGCTTTGGACTGTTCATGGAGGAAATCAGTAGATTGATCCAGAATGAACTAGGTGCACTCTGATACAATAAATTGACATTGACATAATATACTGTATATACCACAAATACAATAGACACAAATCTAATGTGCACCTTACAAACATTCAATGTTTAATCTATTACACAATCCTCTACACTGCAATTCAATATTTTTTAACATTTATATGTGCACGTTCTCTGTGCTCCGAGAGATGTTGGATTGTCAAGGTGATAACTGCTGACAAACATGATTTTACACATATGAGTCTAATCCACCAGGGGTGATAAACAGAATTACATCTCCTCTAAGAGGCAGAGTTT